ATTAATATATGATCGATAGTCGTCCAATCGAAAGTATGTTTAAAGTCCATCGTACCATAGGGATGATTCACTATTGAAAACTCGTGTGTGGAGAATAACGTTTATGTTTGTTGGCATAAATCTTAACGGACGCAATCATTAAATTAAGATTAAAGAATACGATGTTTCGATTAACTATAGATACTAATAATATTAACTATTCCTGCAACTGGGTCGATCGCTATTAAATGAAGCGTTAAAGTTGGAACGTGGACAAATTAGCTGGGATAAATCAACAGCTTGAAATTAAGAACAATTTTAACGCGTTAGATCACTTTGTTTGATTTGAAATCCTCGTAAGAGAAATGGTTTCCAAAAATTATTATATGTTTTCTGTAGCGTCGCGGTGCCATTTTTCTTCCATTCGCGACGGAAGTAGAGCCAAAGGAACACGATCGAGTTTATGGAATTAACTCTTTTCGCAGCTTTACGTTTCTTTTCACATTTTTCTCCCCCCTAATCGCGACCATGTGGCAGAGTCGTTCGAGTGGACTTCGAACCCTTGATCGCGTTATGTTTCCACGAGACATTAAATCATTAGACGTCGCGGAACTTGATGGAGTTCACAGTCACGTAATGGTTCAATAAACTGAATTTCTTTGAATCACGGCCAGCGTACTTTGCATCTCCGTTTCTTTGAAATGGGATTTCCATTTAAACGCTGGGAAAACGAAGAGCGATTGAAAATCTATTTATGCGCGAAGGCTGCTCGGGTAGTAGCAAAGTACATTTGTCAAAGTTTATAACGAGTTTACTCGATATCTAGAAAAGGAATCGAACGTTCGGAGTTGGTCGAATCTTCTATCGACTAATTAACATTCGATTTTCTTGCTCGCTACAAATTTCCATTCGATTTTAAAATAGAAAAGTGAAACTAAATTATTTTTTCAAACGTAAATTATTTAATATTTAAAAGATTAGGGGATTCCAGAGGCCAAAATAAGACGAAAATCAAGAATACCAATTTCTTGATGGAGGCTCCGTTAAAAAGTTATTAACATTTAAAGTTCCACCCCTTTTCGAATTTTTTTCTCGAAAATGCGCAGGATTTCGGGGATATGTCTATTCACCAAAAATTATTATAATAGACCCCCGCAACCGAAAATAATTTTTTCAGAACGATTTGAAAATTTTTTTTTTCCGTCGAAAAATTTAGGCTTCTTCTCGAATTTTTTACTCGCAAACGCGCAGGATTTCGAGGTTATATCTATTCACCAAAAATGATTATAATAGACCCCCGTAACCGAAAATAATTTTTCCAGAAAGATTTGAAATTTTTTTTTTCCGTCGTAAAATTTTCACCCCTTCTCGAATTTTTTTCTCGAAAACGCGCAGGATTTCGGGGTTATGTCTGTTCACCAAAAATAATTATAATTGACCCCACTAAATAAATATAATTTTTCCAGAACGATTTAAAATTTTTTAATTTAATTGTTAATAACTTTTTAACGATGCCTCAGACAAGAAATTGATATTCTCGATTTTCGTCTTATTTTGGCCTCTAGAGTCTCCCGTTAAAATTTTTCCCGGGGATGGCCAAATTTTTGCAAATAGTTTAATACAAATAATTCTTCCAAGTATTTTTAATCGTATTATTTCACGATGAAATTATATTTTCGTTCTCTGATTCGATAAGGACGTGTTGTTGCGCTGATATGCGAACGATAGTATATATAATGCACAGAATTCATTCTCTCCAACAATATATCGAGCATAAGACGAAGAAAGTACATACGTGTCCTGTGCATTCGTGATCGAAATACGCCAGTGGGAGTTGGAGGGAATTTTCCTCGAATGATAACGATAATTGTTAGCAATATTCCTACAATATTCTGTTTAAAAATTTCTACGGTACTTAAATAATCGTACTATTCGATAATACTAATAAATCTACTACCTAATTATTATTAACAGATTTGTCATAGTTAATGTGTGTTAAATGTTATACGCAATTAATATTAATGAAGTGTCTGTTTGGATAAACTCCAACAATATACGTTTCATTTATTAACGAAGTGTCTAGTAGCGAATATCTTTTAAGAGTAATCAAAATTTACTAAAAAGAAAGTGATACAGAAACTACGATAAAAATGTTTCGAAACTTCACTGATAATTACAAATATAAGCTTTTGATAATTATGTTTGGTGACGCGTGTGGCATAGTAAGTTAGGATTTAAATTCCTGCAAATACTGTAAGTAATGAATTTTAAAATTCATTTTACTGTGATATATCATGCTTTAAATCCATTGCAAATGATCATGTTATTTTTTTTTTTCAAATTGTACCCACTATTTGAAACCTTCGATAATCCATTTGTCTTAACATCGATAACTACTGTGCATTGTACAGCCTTGAATTAAAATGCTTACACGATCCTTTTCCAATGAGGAGTATGCGGATATGCTGCATTCCGTTTATGGTTTTTTGCAACGAGGACGAACGACTAGCTATATCAATGTATCAGCAAGGCTTCTCTGATAGAAGTGTGCTATATTATTTTATGATTATCTGACTCCAATTACGTTCATCTGAAGGGTGACGAATTGATGGATTTATGTATCAACAAAATTTACGCAAATGAAAAATATTCGAAGGACTTCGTGTCAATTATAAATAAATTGATCCACGTTCTTATTACTTTGTTGAGAAGAAATATCAACATATTTTGAATATATTATCAAAGTAGCTCTTATCCTTTTTCTCCCTCAAAGTGATTCTGATTCACAAAAGAAGCTCCATTTTCTTTTTCCCCCATTGCAATCGACTCGTATAACATTTCATCGTACATTTATTCTCAAAACAGATCAATACGTATAGTTGAATTAGTGAATGCCTTATATACGAATCGAAAATAACAAAAAAAATAGTTACATTCGCGATTCCCGTTTTCCAACGCGTTAATTCTCTCGTCGATACGCGCCATTTGCCTTCTCAGAGGTCTATTTGCGCGGGAAACATAAATCTCGGCGCGAGCGTTAATCCATCGAACGAGGAGTTCATAAGACAGTGGAGTTTCCAGAGTGGCGGGACTACCGATCCCCCCCGATCGTAAACGCGTTTTATAACCTCCACTCTCGTTCGAGGTTTTGTTCCAATATTATTGTCGGGTATTCGAGGGCGCGGCATTCTACTAAAAACAGAAGTCGTTTTAGAATTCGAGGGCGCGGCGTGTTGCCCGTGGAAACCGCGGTCTCGGCGAATTGACCGCCGTAAAAACCACGCGCGAAAAAAAAGTTTATTCCCGCGTAATTGCCGCTCGCCAAAGGGAAGAAACTGCCTTTCGTTGCCAACGGTGTTATTACGGAGCGAACGTGAAAGAGAAAAATTGAATATCCTGCACGGGCAAGCTGTTTTTATCGCGAACGACCGTACAGGAAGTTTCAAAGCTATTTGTCAAACAGTAATCCTGCCTCATTGTTATATTCATTCCAAATATATTTATATGCATTTCTATAAGCTTTCTTGTAAGGATTTAATTAGATATAGGAACACAAGAGCAGATACGACAAAATAAAATAGCAGAATCTAGATAGAATAGTAGCTACAAGTTTCTAAGAACTTGTGCTGAATATCTAGGAAAAAGAGGCAGAAGTGATGGCTAACTGTGAGAGCAAGATGTGGTGACACAAAACTATGAAATAACTTATTATTAATTGGACAAGGAGAAAGAAAAGTGTGAATTATATCAAAGAGATTATGGAACATTCAAACGGTTGTTGGAAGACTGAAAAGTTAGAGAGACCCCAAGAGACGTTAGGGTGTGTTTGTATGACTGAATTAAGGAATAAAGTTGTAAACCATGTACATTGCAATTTTAACATTATTACCTTTTGTTCTTTCTTCTGCTGCTATTTCTGCTATTTTCTTCTGTATTTCTTCTTCTTGTTTAGTCAGGTCACCATTGATATAGATGTCTTTTCTTGTTCATTTAAACCTCTTCTTCCAAGTTATTTATTTCTAGCCCTTTTATTACAAGATCGGTTCTTCTCTCTTCTTTACATCTGTATTCATCTATTATTCTCGTTTCCAATTTCCATTTCCTTCACTTCAGTACACCCATCTTGTTCATTTTCTCCAATAGTAGGGTTAATTTCGACGCTTTGTATTTCTAATTAATTTCGTAGTCTTCCTTCTTGCCCCCCTATTTTTCTAATGTTAGTTCCCTTTACTTTTCATCTTCCATTGCTAGTTTTGCATTGGAAACAATTCCTAAAAGATTCTAGGTTTTTTCCCTCCCATGACCACGTGCTTACATAACCTCAAAAACTCCGGGATAATGTTCTATTCTTCGTAGCTTCTTCGTACCTATAATGTTCTGTTTTTCTTTTTAACTAGTTTCACGTATCATTTTTCTTTCTATCAGCCCCTTTTCTGTTAAATTTTGCTTTCTGTTCTTCCTTTTTATGTATTATTTCTCTCGCTGCGCGATACTGCAAACCCATACTCGCCATAACTATTCCCCGACTACTAAAGGCGTTCGTACAAGCAGAAACAGTTGAAAGCGGACATACTAAAGTTACTTCCATTCAAATTCAATAATTTCGAAAACAGTTATTCATACTTTCGTGCAGGCTCATCGATACTGAGGCACCCTGTATTCTCGTAACGGTTCAAGACACGAATACTTTCGTTCCATACAAGTTTTGTTTCCGGTTGTATTGAGAGCTCTGGAAAACGATCCTATCTTTACGATGCTTTCTCATCGCTGTCTTGAGACCGTAAATTATTCGAGCAACCGTATTACTTGAACTTTATGCTTTGTTCCCCTTTTACGAAGGTACAAAGAAATTAACGTATTCCTTTTATGCGGATAATTTCTATGGTTTCGAGCAAGCAGAACTTCTTAAATATGGGTGAAAAATATAATCTGGAATAGTGTAGTCTCTAGATTGTTCGAACGAGAATTTTGGGGATCCAGGGGTCTGTGTCTGATCAGTTTTGTTTGCTCTTTTCCGACAGCCACGTCAGCGGTGATCCTGAAGACGGAACACGAGCACCACCAGTTGTCAAGTCTGTCCGGGGACAACGTTCTTGGCACAGGGGTTAGAATCGGACGGGGCGAGGACGCAGTCGCGGTCGGCACCAGGGAGGTTATGGATTCGGCGCAATCAGCGATGATGAAGCAAACGGACTACGTTGTAGGTCAGTGTATTCGACTCGAAAAAATTCCATTTAATTTCGTCGAATCGATCGTTCGAATTCCGCCTGACGCTCGAAATCGAATCGTTCTTCAACCCGTTGTTATCTTGATCGAGGACTGTTCGCGTATTCGTGCCGCGAATTTCGTCGATGCTCGACAACAAGTGGCGCCGGGGCGATTGTTTATGGCCGATCCGGCTACTCTGGAATTCGTCTTCGATAAATTGTGCATGACGAGTAATATTGGTGAAACGATTATCAATGAAAATTTTATGATAATTGTGTATTGTGACATCGTGACTTCTACGGAAATGTCTCTGTGGAGAGAAGTGGAAAGTTGTACCGTTTTGCTATTACGATAACACGTGTGATTAACGAACTTGTAATAATTCTTGACCACTGGGTGCGTTGTTTCGGAAAAAAATTGTTACGTAATGTAGTCGACGTTCAGAGACTACAGTTCAAATCTTTGCGTACACGTATTACGTAATGTAATGGGCCGTTGAAAAACCTACAATTCATTGCACTTATATTTTTTCGCTTTTTAAACATAGCTTTTGGTTTCATTACTGCGTCGAGTATCGTCCGTGTATGTCTAATGCAAAATTATATTCGCAACTCCAAAGAAGATTGGATCACTTAAATATTTTTATATCTTTTGTTTACAAAATTATTCATTTATTTTCATATCACCGTCAACTAACTGGTTTTTTTACGGAATTTAATTAATTTCAGACTCTTTGAGATATCATATTACGAATACGTTGTTTTAGTGTGAACAAAAGAAGGCTGAGCACTTGCTCGACAATATTACGGAACAATTATCGAGAATATTGCAGTCCGTTGGCCTTGTTTTGTTAAAATTAAGGTCCTGAGTTTCGAGATAATCACGCGTATTAAAATGATTGTGCAAGCTTCCCAGTTCCTTATCACTCGTCATTATTTACGTTGTTGCATATGAAACACTCGTACCCCGGCCAATTTCGTTTTACAGATCTCGAATATTTAAAATAAGATATCTACGGTCTGTTGGGGCCCTTGGAAATTTCTAGAAATGAATTACCGACCGAGTGATTAAGGAAATGACAATTTATAGTTCGATTTAAATAGAAGCAGGTGGAGCCACTGTTTTCAGCCTGAAATAGTGTCTTCTCTAGAATAAACATTTTACAAATAAAATATGCATAAATTTACAACAAAATCAAGCTAAAAGATTCTTAAATAGCAAAAATCTGGAAGCTTGGTTTAACATTTCATGACTCGAAAGGCCCAAGACTAATGGAACATTGTGCAAATAAAATAAAGAGTTTCGTCCAACCCTTGGTGTCACAACAATGATTCAGCACAATGAAAAACACAATTTCCCTATTAATAGCAATTGAAATACCCTCGATTAAAGGGCAATCAATACGGAAACGATCGTGCAAACGACAAACTTCGTTCGATTAGTCACCGTCTGTCCAAAGTTCACTATGCCACGCTCGGGAGGCGTGGCTCGAGACGACTAATAGTAAAAGCAAAGGATGGAAATTCGCACGCGGTCAGATATTTTACTAACAACACGTTTTCTTTCTGTTTCATAGACGTCGTCTTGCCGACCGTCCTAATTGCTCTGCTGTTCGTCGGCAATGCCATCATCGTTTACATTATCTTCCAGTATAGAAAGAGGTGAGTCAAATTCACGATACCCTTTTGGTTCTTTCTTAAATACGCAATAAAAACAATTTTGGATTTGGTTAAAGGCGCTTTCTATTGTAATAACACAGATTTATTATCACTTATTTACTCTAACGATGTAAGTTATGATAAAACACAAAAAAACCAAAAAAAAAGACAGTAGGTTTTACTTTCACGACTCTATTCGGTTTTCCTCAGCTTTATACTATTGGATCGAGTCATAAGTAACTTCCGACGCAGCTAAGTAGAATCTATTGTGCCAATTTGTTGATAGAGGCTTCGTTAAAAAGTTATTAACAATTAAATTCAAAAATTTCAAATCGTCCCGGAAAAATTATTTTCGGTTGCGGGAGTCAATTACAATCATTTTTTGTCATTACACATATTCCCGAAATCCTACGCACTTTCGAGAAAAAAATTCGAGAAGAGGTGAAATTTTTCGACAAAATTAAAAAATTTCAAATCGTTCTGGAAAAAGTATACTTAGTTAGAGGGGTCAATTACAATAATTTTTGGTGGACAGACATACCCTTGAAATCTTACCCATTTTCGAGAAAAAAATTCGAGTAGGTATTGGAATTTTTAGACGAAATTAAAATATTTCAAATCCTACTAAAAAATATATATTTAGTTACAGGGGTCAATTACAAGCATTTTTGGTCAATAGACATACCCACGAATTCCTACGCATTTTCGAGAAAAAAAATTCTTTACCGAAAATCTAATGTGAGGCCCAGAAATGGTCCCCCGAAATTTCATGCGAATCTTTAAAATATCATAACTTCTGAACGGGTTGGACGATTTTAATGTTGCAAAAAGCAAACAACGCGTATTTTGGTGCAGAATACGTAGAAATTCTAAGAATTGCCGAAAAGTTATTTCTCAACCCCGGAAAGTGAGAAAAACCGCATAAAAATGGTCCAATTTTCAACGGTCCATACCTCCTACAATAGTGAATATATTTGAATGAAACTTTTTTCTGAACTGGAGTTCATAGTTACCTATAAAAACGTATTGAACAACTTTTCTGTAGGGCGTTAAATAAAATAATTAAAAATCAAAAACGAACTTTTAAGAAAAATCGACAGAGGGTAGGGTGTTTAAAATGTTTGGCGAAAAAAAAGATTCCTAATCGTTCTGAAAAAATTATATTTAGTCGCAGGGGTTGATTATAATCATTTTTGGTGAATACACGTACCACCGAAATGCTACGCATTTTCGAGAAAAAAATTCGAGAAGGTGTGAAATTTTTCGACAAAATTAAAAAATTTCAAATCGTTCTGAAAAAATTATTTTCGGTTGCGGGGGTCAATTACAATCAGTTTTTGTCATTACACATATTCCCGAAATCCTACGCACTTTCGAGAAAAAAAATTCGAGGTGTGAAATTTTTCGTCGGAAAAAGAAAATTTCAAATCGTTCTGAAAAAATTATTTTCAGTTGCGGGGTTCAATTACAATAATTTTTTACTTGTATCCTTATTTCAATATAGCTAATAAATCGAATTTGATTTGCAGGAAATTCCCGCCAATAGAACACGGCGAGGAGATGGCTTTGCATAATTCAGCAGAGGTGCCACAGGTGTAAATTGAGCGAGAATCGACAGTCAAGTTCACGGTGCCAGCAAGAACGTTAGCGATGAGGCCTACGTTGCATTTTTCTACGAGGATGATCAGAAATCAATCTCCAAAATGGTCGTCGAGAGGCCTCGACCGCTTTATTCCCCCATAAGCGTTATGTCGTGAAGGGATCGCTGTCGAGAAAAGTCGGGGATCCCCGAAATTCGTGTTATATAATTTCGTTCTAAAGCGATGTTCGTCGAAATAGATCGCGCGACAAAGAAACGTTTTCACGCGCGTAAATGTAACGGGGGACGCTCTAAAAAGAATGACTATAAACCGCGATCATTGCCGCGTAAAAATTCGCTGTCAATGTTAGAACTCGGGCGCCTATTCAGCGCTGCCATAATTTGACGTACACATTTACGGTAATGTATTATAATGTAAGGAAATAATATATTCTATATTTCGTCCAAATTGTGACTAAGTTAAGAATAAACGGATGTTTTATTAATACGGCTGCTGCTATTTGATGTCTAAATCGATCGGGATTGATAAATAAAACCTATTCTTCGGTACAGTAGGAGGGCAACGTAAATGAAAATAAAGAGTAAAAATGAATTTGTTTTATTGCATCGATCACACTTGTATGTACAATCGTTGGCGTGGTTAGACGTGTTAGTTTAAAAGTACTTCTGTAATGGTTCCCCTAAAATCTCCTCCAGGGTGCGCACTGCGTTCTGCGCACATTTCTCCGTTGCTTCATCCTCGTCCTCCAACAATTCTGCCAGGAATGGTATAGTCTCTGGTAATAGCGGCATGAAATCCTCTCCTAGCTTCCTCACGATCTCGACCTGCGTTCACGGAAGAAAATCGCGAATAGAAAACGGCGGTATAATTAGAATGACCTCGAGAAACCAGTTTGCGCGACGATTGCTATAGCGACAATACGGGAACCACCAGATCACTTAAAAGAGAGACAGCTTGGTTATTTCTCATCTCGATTCGAGGCTCAGTCCAGTGATGGACGTTCGTGGGAATCTTGGACATGCGCACTAGAACTTTCCCTCGTGAGATTCCTTTTTGCGCGTGCGTCAACTTTCTGCTATAGACGTATCTTTAGCGTAAAAAGGGGTGCATATTGGGAGTTCCCATGTTTAGTACAAAATTGAACTTTCTACTTCAAATGCTCGCCAATCACAGAAAAATTAACTTATCGAAGATCCCCTACGTATTTCTCTAGCTATACTCGTGTAGATTAAGAGGAAATTTTTTGTTTTTGTCTCTTTCCCTGTAACTTCCTTACTGGGATCCAACGGTGCCCTAAATTCTAGTTAAGACTACTGAGACTGTCCATCACTGGCTCAGTCTCGCGTGCACCATCCAACGATGGCAAGTAAATTGAAAACCACGCGAGTCACGCGTATTACGCAAAAATAAAAGTTTATATATTTTTTATGAAAATAAATCCTATTCAAAGGTACAAGAAACGATTCGTTTCACATGTAATTAAAAATAACACGAACACGATCACGATCTCTGTTGGAAATGAATAAAGCATATAATAAAAAAATGAATTGAGTAACGGCGAACTTCTACTCACCAATGCGTTCAGTGCTGCGCTTCTGACGTAGGGTTTCGCGTGTCTGGTCTTGAGCAACGTTTGGTAGACCAGCTGTTTGTGCAAAGAATCGTCGGGAATGGCGCTGGCGAAGGCGGCGACGCAAGGCACTACAAGTTCGTTCGTCCTCTTCTCGTATTCCTCTCTAGTCCCCATAGTGTTCTCGAGCTGATCCACGATGGGCTGCGACAATATCTCGAATCTCTCTTGGGTCACTACGTTACGCGCGTCGTAACTGAACACCCGATAGAGGGTTAGCAAAATGGCTTCCACCAATTCGATCTTGCTCGAGTCCTCGGGAAGAGTCATTTCTTGGGGCTCGTCCGAGATCGCTGGATTGTTGCTGCTCAACAGCACAGCCGCGTGTTTGAGGAAGTGACCAGCGAAGAGGACGAACAACGACTTCAGGCACTCTGCTATGTTAGCCGACAGTCTATAGAACGTGATGCTTCGTTGCTTGTACTGTGGATTCCTTGCAGCCCAATCGTACAATTTATAATAAAATGGCCTGAACGTGGCCTCGCTGAGCTTCAAAATAAGCGCGACCAGCGCTTTGCTGGCGCTCTCCTCCACGACCACCACGTTCCTCAATGTCACCTCCGAGTCGTCTATTTCCATCTCGTCGTTAGAAATGTCCTCGCGGAATTGCAAAACCTTCAAGAAGAATATGCCCAGATCCGGAATGGCCGCGCTCAAATCTGCCGGCTGGACGCTGTTGAAGGACTCTGCCAGGACAGTCATCAGCGCCGGTATGCACTGATACGTCTTTTTCGCGAGCAACGTGTCGTAAGTTCTGTTCACGGCTGGCAACAACACTCGCAGAGATATGCAACTGGACAGCTTCTGCGTCGTCGCCTTCAGACGCGACACCACAACGCCGATCTTTGGATGCTCGGTGTCGGTGTACAAAGAGTTCAATCTCGCCAGCTCGAACAGCAATTGGTCCAAGTACAGGGACAAGAAGTTTCCTACAGAGTCTACGATCTTCTGCAACGCACTCACTATACTGACAACTATCACGTCCGGCACGTCTTGATGGCAATGGTTCTCCAGCAGCTGCAGAACCGCTGGAACGAATTTATTCAGCGACGGTATAGCGTAGATGCGCATGGAGCTGCATAATTCTGCAACGCATAGCGCAGCGCTGCCCAACACCGGCCCTTCCTTTGTCCTCAAAAGTTTAGTAGTCATCTCCAGGATCTGAAAAACATTTACAGTATAATACAAATGCATAGACAAAGCCTCTTTTTGAATAACTGAACTCTTACCGGTTTGAATACCGTAGGATGCTCCGTGGCCAACAATTTAGCTAGCAGTTTCAACGTAATCAGAACAGTCTGTTGGACGATTTCCTGTTCCTGCGTTTCCGACTTAACTCGTGCATCGATAACGTTCAACAGGGACTCGATCAAGTTCAGCAAATCCGTGTAATCCTCCTCGCCGAACTTCCGTTGCTGGAGTCGCGTGTTGAGTAGCTCCAGAGCTTTCCTCTTCACTGTCAACAACTTGTGCTCCATCAGACGCTTGATGCTAACCAGAAAGATTCCGTTTGGCAACAAATTGTTGACGAGATCGAGCACGTCGTAGAGATGATGCAGAAGAACCTTCCAATATTTACCGATCGGTTTCCCTTGATGTTTGTCCGCGTTTCTCGAGGTGCTCTCGATCAACAGAATCAACTCTATGATCAGTTGATCGTAGTACGGTCTCACGTTGTTCACATCGACGGGTTTGAGCTCCGCGACTCGATTGATAAAATCGGGAGACGACAACAGGTTGCTGACGAACTGCACCAGGATGTACTTGTAGTGTCTCAGGTGTTTGGGATTGTTGTTGGCCACGTCGAAGATGTGCTTGTACTTGAAGGACATGGCAGCTTTACGGTCTTCATCCTCTTCTATGTCGACTGGCAACTCCCTCATGAACTGTGCTAGCTTCACGCAGACTTGGACGAGTCTGCCAGGTGGAAACTCGTGAGACACCTGGAGAGCAAACTCCAGTCTCTGGCCAGGCGTCTTCTGATTCATGATACGCATCGTTCTGGACACAACGTGGCTCTCGAAAGTGAGCAGATAGTACAGATGAAAATGATTGTCCAGCAGCTGCAACAGCTTCACGAACAGAGGCATCCGTCTGTGCTCGGGGATGTCTGGCAGAGAAACGATGAAGGTTCTCAGAACCTCGCACGCGTGGGTCTCGTTCTCAGCCGCGTTTATTATGGGCACCACTGTCTCGATGGTCTTGGAGATGATCTGTATCGAGTAGGCGTCATCCTGACGCACCACCGAGCTGCCCATGAAGGTGAATATGGGCATGATGGTGTAAAGAGCGCAGCGCACGTCGACGATCTTCAAAAGCTCCACCAAGACCAGCAACGCGTGATGGTGAGTCTGAGGATTCCTCGAGGTCCTGATGCACTGAGTGATCAGATCCACCTGCAGATGGGCGTCACGTATGGGCAGCTTGCTCACCGCTAGTCGATGAATCGTCGACAGCAACAACTGATTGGTATACTCTATGGGGCTCTGTTCCTCGAAGCTCAGGCACATCTTCAGCAAATCGAACAAGATAGGATAAAGCAATTCCTCATGCTCGATATTGTTAGCTTGTTGAACAAACTCTAGAAGCGTTACCCCGCGTTTCCATTCCCTTCTGTTGATTATCGTTGGATCAGGAATGTAACGCACGTTCAATCGTTTCTTGTTCTTCACCATGGCGTTGTTCAACTCGAGATTCTTCAGATTCCTCATCGTTTGCAACTCGTTCACTATCAGCTCCGCGTTCATACGGATCCTCCTGATCGCCCTATTGGCTATGGAAATCACGTTGCTCGTGTTACTGTCGGTCACCACGTCCACCAGCTTGGCAAGGATCTTCTTCTGGAGTCCGGGCGACACTTTTCCAGCGCTCTCGAAGAAGGTCTCTTCTATCTGTTTCAACAGAATTACACTCGGTGGATAGAGGACTCCGGTTTCCGTCATTATCTCAGCCTTGTGCTCTACTATACTGTCCTCGAACAGCTGCCATGCTTGAGGAACAGTGAGAACCTTTACAGTTGTGCTGTTGAATCTCTGAAGTATATTCTTCAACGCGTTACCGGTTGATTTACTTTTGGACTCCGTGAGCAGGGTCTTTAATAGCTCTAGGCCTAGGGGAGCTAGTCGCTCGAGTATCGTTGGTCCGTTAACGTGAACCAGAATATCCAACAGTTGGGACTTAACGTGTATCGGAGTCTCTGGGTCCGTGGCAACCTCGAACACAAATTGCTGTGCTTGTTGGAGACTTTTTCTTAGGTCAGACTTCAATTGAGCGCATACATCCGGGTCAGGGGAGAGTAGAACGTAAAGGGACAGCGACAGCTGATCAGGATCCAGCGATATCTCCGATCGCCTAGCCACCAATTCTTGCAACAAGGCTGAGAACGTATCTGCTGACAAGTTGAAGGTGTGCATGAGCTTCTTAAGGACATCCAACGCAGCTATTCGACACTCGTTGTTTTCCCTGGCCAGCGAAATTAGCAAGTTCGTTACAAATACTTTGTCCTGGAACGCCCATTGCAGGGACTTGCACTGATCAAGAAGTACCAAAGTTATCTTCAAACAGTAGAAAGATGTTTGTACTTGTACCGGTTTTATGTAGAGTTGAGACAGAAATTGGATCAGATCTTTAACCGTGGCAAAGTGTCGTTGGAAAAATATCTGCAAGCAACGAGAATAATGCTTGCGCCAGTACTTGTTCTCTATCCCCTCGAAAAACATTTCCAGCAGCCTAAGAATCAAATTGCTCCGATGGGGATTGTTCTCAAAGTCGAACTTCGAGTTCAGTTTCAAGTCCAAACGTCTGTGAACCATTTCCAGAACGTATGTACCTACTTGCAAAGGCAACACTCCTTGAGAAGTCAATTCGATAGCAGTCTGTATATTGTTCCCTGTTATATTGTTACAATTTTGCAGCATCTTTACCTGCGGATACTTCTTGATGATTTCTGTAGCCATTTCGATAACCTCTCTGGCGATTTCAGGTTGCAAGAATCCAACGGGGACTCTGCACACGGATCCCAATAGGATCAGATTGAAGAACATGGTGGCTGCGTCGCCGTGAGCAATCTGTTGTTTCATGGCGCTTAATATACTTTCGGTAGGAGGTAACAGTTCCCAGTTCAGTATGTTATGAAAAGCTGCTGACGAGACTGCCTCCGCGTTAGGCGATTTGCCCAAGTCCTTTCGCACGTGTTGCATGTAAGCGTTCTTTTTGGCAAAGTTCGACTGCAGAACCTCCATCGCGATACTCACGTCTGCGTCGTCGTTTGGGAACAAGTACGAGAGGGACGCGATGAAGACGCTGGTGTCGTCACCCACCTCGCAGAGTTCCAACAGTATCTTCAGAGCTGGTTTCGCTAACACTTTCCGACTGCTACTATGGCAGCTCGATAGCAGCACTTTCAACTCGTCGATCAACATGTCCACAGGAAGCAAAGCTGTCAGACGGTTCGTGGGAAGGGACAGCAACGCTTTGATCACGTTTATTTCACTGTCGTTGAATCTAGCTTGCAACGTGCTTGTCATCATATCCTTGAAACTATCCGGGATTTTCACGTTGTTTCTTGCTAGGGTCTCCAACGCCATGATTCTTTGCTCCGGGCTAATATGAATCAATCTGTCGAGTATACCCACGGAGTCTTGGGTATCTTTGGCACCAAAATGCCAGGATGTGAGGAACTGCAACGCCAGTTTCGAATCTTTGTCGGTGTCGCTGCGTTTCATGAGATTTTTCAGATAGTCGTCGAATCTTTCCGGGTAGGTTTTCTCGAAGCATTGATACAAACGCATCAGAAAATCTCTAGCTTCGTTCGATATATTGTTCGCGAGGAATTCCTTTTCCAGCACGTTCCACAAAATGGTGTCCACCCCGTTGTTGTCTAGTTTTATCCGCGTCAATATCTCGCTGACCATGTTCTGAATGCGCGTCGTTTCTGACGGGTTGTTTAAAATCACACGGCAGCTGGTTTGCAGCAGGGGCACGATGAATTTTAATACGTTGGTGTTGGACGATTGGAGCTTTATCGCAAGCTCGACGAACCAAAACAGCTCCGATAATCGATTTGCGAGAGAATCGGAAACCGTGGTCAGTCGATAGGTCGGTGAATTGTACAAGAAAAATATTAAAACCATTAACTCCTCCTTCAGATGTGTTTTCTTAAACATTTTTGGAAGCAACTTTTCTGTAGTTTCGTTATTCAATTTCACTTTGGTCATTAGCATCGCCAGAATCATGTAAGTGCCGGCTGTGAAATCAGGTATAGGGCTTTCCAGGCCTCTCAAAATTGTTGGTAACATGTGATTTATTTGAACTTCCGACATGGTAGGTGACTGATCGATAATCCCTAATATGGAAGTGGTGTAGAATGCGTACAGTGTACTTAAACAAGTCGCTCTGTTCGAGTACACTCTTGTAGCAACGATAACATGATTGCAAATAAGTTTTAGAAGACCGTTATCGGAACTGAGACGATTGATCAATGATATCGTAGCTAGCGGAACACCCGGCTTTTGAAGAGGCTTCAACCAGTGCCATTTATCGGCTGCATCCGTCAGATTTAATAACTGCAATGCTCTTACAAACATTCGAGTCTCGTGATAAGGTAAAATTAATAGTAGAAATTGATCCCTGTTAAATTCGTGAATACGAAATCTATGTATTAACCATTCGAGCGCTTTGTGAGCATTGTTGAGCAAAAAGTATGGCGATAAAAGAATCAGAAACTTTTCAATTTCCCCGTCCAACTTTTTGTTCACTTTAACATCCTGCACGGCACGTTCAAGACTGAGCGAACTTTGCGCAAAGAGTGTTCTCTCGAATTCTAAAAACAGGTCCGATAACTTACCCAATTCTTGTAACCCATTTTGACCTATAAAACAGATTAAGCATTTAGTTATCGAACATGATTATCCATGGCTTAACCAGTCTCTTACCAATATTCAAAACTGTTTCCCTATCTAAATTAGCAGCTTCTTTTGGATCGAATAACAAGCTAGCACGTCTTGTGTCCTGTAGCAAGATACTAGTCTGCGGTGTTCTGAGTTTCTTCAATTGTTCCGCAAGGGATGTAGCCATTCTGGATCTGAATTAAAAACTTATTTAAGTATCAAAAATTTTTAAATGTTTTAAACGCAAAAAACCGGTACTTGAAATGCGAATATAACCTCGCTTTATATTCTTGTACTCGTTCTCGATAAATGCACCAAATAGGTTGTGTCTACAGTTAATACCCGTATTATTATTTATACGTAAAGTATTCAAAAATATATCAACTATTTATAGTATGTCCGATTATTAATTTTTTTAAAACTACACGTGCTACTACTATACACAGCCATTCCTACGCACGCGTACATTTTCCATAAAAAGCATTGTCAATGTCAATGAAAATAGCAGTACATCATCATTATCAATTACCATCGTTTACAAGTAAAAAACTATCGATCAGAAAACTCAGTTTTGTCTAACTCTTAGAAGCTCTTTTTCTTACGAACAATGTGAAACAAAAAACATGACAATTTCGTTAACGAAAGTATAGTGACAGAAGACTTTTCGCCCGTTGTTATTGGCGCGAAGTTAGGTTAACTCCAAAATTGTATATAAACACCAGAGTATCTGATTATTTACATCTAGCGTAATAATGTCTCTTTAATAGAAAGATGGGTGACGCTTTAGAAAATATTAATCCGAAATTGTATAAGAAAATCGATGAAAGACAAGTTACTGCTAAAGACGAAGATGAGGACATAGCGGACGAGTTTGACGAGCGTGAGATCTTCGGTATATTTTCTTAACAGTTTGATCGACTCGGATTTTAATCGGATTTTACATTAAATTTAATTTACAGATCTTATTAGAAACATCAATGATCCTGAACATCCCCTGACACTGGAGGAATTAAATGTAGTAGAACAAAGCCTTATAGAGGTAATGAATTACCTATTATTAATCAGTTTAATATTCAACATCATTTAGTTCACAAATTTTTCATTACAGATCGACAATAAGGCAAACAGAGTTCATGTACAGTTCACTCCAACGATACCGCATTGCAGTATGGCAACATTGATCGGTTTATCGATCAGGGTACAACTTTTGCGAGCTTTACCATCAAGGTTTAAAGTTAATGTGGAAATTACACCAGGTACTCATACGTCGGAAGCAGCAGTGAACAAACAGCTGGCAGACAAGGAAAGAGTAGCTGCAGCTCTTGAAAACAGCCATCTGCTTGAAGTAATTAATCAGTGCATTGGAATGAAATGTTAGTAACTTTGTTAACTCCAAGTTAGAATAATGTTTCCTTGGTTGAAATTCGGTTTGGACAAGGCTACAAGTGCAATAGACCAGGAAAATGAAATTTAATGTATTTGCTCTTATCTTCCATCAAAAGATATTTGTACGTGTATAATAAACGATTTGACGATGTTTCCGATTAATTAGAATATATTCTTATACACGAAGCTGGAATTCGACTTGCGTCGTCGAGACTCGAATTCTGCCGCCGGTTGACGTAAGTCGGATTTCAACTATTTCGAGAACGAGAAAGAAACCCTCGCATTCACCTTCTTTCTCGAAACGGTGGAACTCACGTACACGTGACTGTGCACAGAGGTGCCAGAAAAGCACCGAGCACACATGCCAGATCACGCGTACGTGAGCTCGTGGAGTTACGGAGAGTCGACAAAGGCAAACTGACGCATGCCCTCTCTCTCGATTCTCCGAAGCTGCCCGAAGTAATTTCGGACCGCCTCGTGAGAGTCGAGAGAGGAAGGCTCACATTTGCCTTCCCGCTCTTGAACAACTAACATCCAACCTCACATCAACGACATACGATTTGGAATCACGACTGCCCAGGCATTTTTACTTTCCGACCTATGTAGGCGCGCATAAGCAAAGTACCATGATGAAAACAAAATTTTGTGAAATTTTTCTTACGGAAATAAACGTTTTAAGACCCCCTGATCATAGTGTAACTATTGAAAAAAGAGAAATTTCTTTTTTATTATTCCTATGTATGAGCGTGCATATGCATACTATTTCAGATATCACTTCTGATATATCTGGCAACGTATAACCATTACTACTGGCTACTGTCAGCCTCTCGCAGCCTCTGCTAACCTCTGTCAGCATGTGCGGACTTCTGCCTGCCTCTGCTGGCCCCTGCTGACCACACCTGATACTTCCGACAACGTATTACGATTACTACTGGTTACTGTCAGCCTCTCCCAGCCTCTGTTGGCCTCTCCTGACCTCCGCTTATATTTCTGACAACGTATGACGATTACAACTTGCTATAGTTGCCCCTGCTGGTCTCTGCTTGCCACTCCTTGCTACTACTGGCCTCCACTGGCCTCCGCTGATCTCCGCTGACCACTGCTGACCACTCCTGATGCTTCCGACAACGTATAACGATTACTACTTGTTACTGCTTGCCCCTCCTGGTCTCTGCATGCCTCTGCTGCCCCCTGCTGACCCCTGCTATCCCTTGCTGACCCCTGCCGACCACTGCTGACCACCCCTGACCACCCCTGACCACCCCTGACCACCCCTGATACTTCTGACATGATGTATAAGTATTCAAGCCTTGTATAATGTAAATCTATGGCAATAAATGATATAATTTAACAGAATTCTATGTGTTCTCATCATTTTTACCTTTCTTTTCCTCTCCAAATCATTGCCTTAGTTTTAAGAGACCGTTTTCCCGGTTAAAATCGGATTCCCAAAGTGTCCAGCTCTCGTACTTGCTGCCAAAATCAAAAATTAAAAGTCCTGAAACAATTGGAAAGTCCTGAAACAGCTGGAAAGTCCTGAAACAATTGAAAAGTCCTGAAGCCGCTGGAAAACCCTGAAACAACGAAAAAGTCCTGAAACAACGAAAAAGCCCTGAAACAACGAAAAAGCCCTGAAACAACGAAAAAGTCCTGAACCCTTGGAATTTTGGAACCAGCTGGAATGTCCTGAAACAATTGAAAAGTCCTGAAACAGCTGGAAAGTCCTGAAACAACGAAAAAGTCCTGAAACCTTGGAATTTTGGAACCAGCTGGAAGGGTCCTGAAACAACGAAAAAGTCCTGAAACCTTGAAATTTTGGGCCCGCTGGAAAGTCCTGAAACAATTGGAAAGTCCTGAAACAGCTGGAAAAGCCTGAAACAGCTGGAAAGGCCTGAAACAGCTGGAAAGCCCTGGAATTTCTTGGAAACGCCGAAAATTCTTGGAAAACCTGAATTTTTAGCAAAATTCTGAGTTTCAGGACTTCCTAGTGGGTTCAGGGAAACCAAGGAGTGTCTCAGGGAGTCTTATAACTAAGGTAATGACTTGGAGAGGAAAAGAAAGGTAAAAAATGATGAGAAGACATAGAATTCTTTGTAATTATATCATTTATTGCCGTAGATTTACATTATACAATGTTTTAATATATAATACAATGTTTTTAATGGCAGAAGTTGTTAACAAGGGTCAGCAGTGGTCAGCAGGGGTCAGCAGGGGCCAGTAGAGGCCAGTAGAGGGATGCAGTAGCAAGTTGTAGTCGTTATACGTTGTCAGAAGTATGAGGAGTGGTCAGCAGGGGCCAGTAGAGGTCAGCAGTGGTCAGCAGGGGCCAGTACAGGCCATCAGAGGGATGCAGTAGCAAGTTGTAATCGTTATTCGTTGTCAGAAGTATGAGGAGTGGTCAGCAGGGGCCAGTAGAGGTCAGCAGTGGTCAGCAGGGGCCAGTAGAGGGCAGCAGAGGGATGGAGTAGCAAGTTGTAATCGTTATTCGTTGTCAGAAGTATGAGGAGTGGTCAGCAGCGGTCAGCAGAGGCCAGCGGAAGCCAGTAGAGACCAGTGGAGGCCAGCAGAGGGATGCAGTAGCAAGTTGTAATCGTTATACGTTGTCAGAAGTATGAGGAGTGGTCAGCAGGGGCCAGTAGAGGTCAGCAGTGGTCAGCAGGGGCCAGTAGAGGACAGCAGAGGGATGGAGTAGCAAGTTGTAATCGTTATTCGTTGTCAGAAGTATGAGGAGTGGTCAGCAGCGGTCAGCAGAGGCCAGCGGAAGCCAGTAGAGACCAGTGGAGGCCAGCAGAGGGATGCAGTAGCAAGTTGTAATCGTTATACGTTGTCAGAAGTATGAGGAGTGGTCAGCAGCGGTCAGCAGAGGCCAGCGGAAGCCAGTAGAGACCAGTGGAGGCCAGCAGTGGCAAGGAGTGGCAAGCAGTAGCGAGGTATAATCGTTATACGTTGTCAGAAGTATGAGGAGTGTTCAGCAGCGGTCAGCAGAGGCAGGCAGAAGTCAGTAGTAATCGTTATACGTTGTCAGAATTATCAGGAGTGGTCAGCACAGGCCTGTAAGAAAATTCAAAAGTACATGCTACTTTATGATGGACTTATACCACTATCGACGGCCAGAATGCTCAAGCTTGTCGAGAAGTAGTTCCGAACAGCGGTATATGATGTGCCAAATGTAATAGATCGAAAAATTGTTATTCTCATTTAACTTTTTCATATGATTGCACGTTACGAGAAGGCAAATGTAAGCCATTCTCTCTCGACACCCACGAAGCGGTCCGAAATTACATCGGGCAGCTTTGGAGAATCGAGAAAGAAGGCATGCGTCGGTTTGCCTTCGTCGACTCTGCGAAACTCGTACGTGCTCACGTACGCGTGATCTGATATGGTGTGAGAAAGTGGAATGAGGTGTCCCCCGGTGCACCCGTGGCTCCGTCTGGTATCTCTGCCTCTAGTGCCACTAAGTAGCACGTACGAAAGTGAAACTTTATCAGGCGTGTCGTCATTGTTCATCATCCATAATATTGTTTATGAGAACCGATACCGATTCTCGGAACATTGTACTACGATTCTGCAAGAATTTAACCGTGTTCAGTGTATCGTTTACTGGTGCAACTAACTATTCTCTCCTAAACGTGCACGACAAATGAACTCCAGTTTGCCATAACCCAAAGACGTATTCGGAACGAATGGTTGGCTCGGGACGGCCATCTCGTATCAACCGAGAGAAACTTATGCGGTGTTGTTATCTTACAATAATATCGAAGACATTTGACACACGTCGTTGTCGATGTTGAAATTTTTAAATGCAAAGACAAGTTCGAGACGGTTCGTTGATTTAATCGGCGTATGACTCGAAACAATTGAAAATGTACGAGAATCTGTTCAAGAACCCGTTGTACCGCGTGTTCGTGTACGGAACATTGAAACGAGGGGAGCCTAATAACAGTCTGATACAGAACACCGCGAATGGATACGCGAAATTTCTGGGACTTGGAAAAACCACGATACCGTACCCGTTAATTATCGCGACCAAATATAATATACCGTTTCTGTTGAAGAAACCCGGAGTTGGTCACGTGAGTATTGCACGTGTTGGTGGAATATTAGCGTCGATAATGTTGCTGATGCACGCGTTCCCCGTGGTTTATGACAGATAGCGATCACATCTGTACCTACAGTGGTGTAAATTCTTGCTTTTCGTGGTGGGCACTGTTATTTAAAATACGTACAAACATGTTTCTTCCTTACCATAATTAACATCGATCGTTTGAATTTTAACCGAGCGTATACCTCCGCAGTTCTGTCTTTCTAACACGAGAATCCCATATTTCGATCTTCGCTACTGGGAATCGAAATATCTTTTTATTATGCAATTACATGTCACCCTAATTCGAGATTCTTTGATGCCTATACATAAATAGCATGTTCTGGGCGAAATATACGACGTCGACACTAAAATGCTAAACAAACTAGACGAGCTGGAAGAGCATCCAGCATTCTACCAACGTTCGGAGGCAGACGTTTTGATGGCTCCGGAGGCAAAGATCAAATTGAACGATAACTTCGAGGAGGTAATCGTCCTCCCCGTAGATTCGTGACATTTGTTACGAAATGTTTCTGGCAAATGAATTTGTTCGTTGTACCTGTTCTCAGGTTGGTACTTTGATGAAGGTTTGGATATATTTTCTACCGAAGTTCAAGGCGTCCTTGTTGGAGGGCCCCATGTACAGCTCCTACAGCAACGACGGCAGCCACGGACTGAAATATTGCGAGAAGTATGTCCGCGAGGCCACGTACGATCACAGAAGCGAAGTTCAATTATCCTGTTAATTATTCCCCCGAAATATTTGTTTCTAGCGAGGAGAGTACAATAAGGCCCGAAGATTTGTTTTGATGAAGCGTATTTGCATAATTCTCGTTGCTTCCTTGTCGCATGTGTGCGTGAACATTTTCATTGTTGGTAGTCAATAAAGGGTCATTCGTCGCATTACATTACATCACATTACTGAACTTGAACCCTTTGCACTCCGATACATCTATAGCAAAAATGAATACCATTCTTTATCACGGAATTCTTTTATAGATTTTAGGATCGCAAAGGGTTAGGTTATGTTACTCGCGTATCTTCATCGCTACGAATACAATTATAGTTGATGGTGTTAGTAGCTTTCAAGTATGAGTCTTTTTATATTATACGCTAAAAAGTAACCAAATATAAAAGGAATAACTCTCTGTCCTTTGTTACAACTCATGGTTGTAACGAGAAACCGTTAAAATGCCCGAGAGCCTGAAACAGTGTTATCAACTATAAGAATATGTGCCACGAAAGTTCTTAATACATTATCGAATAGTAATTTAAGTGATATATTTTTAATAAAGCAAATTAATCGTTGAGAAGGCGTCTCGGAATGTACATCAGGTACAAAATGACAAAACCCCGCGGCAACGGTTGAAAATTACCTCGTGTATTATGCAATTATTCTCGAATAAATATAAAAAAAAAAAAAAATGAGAACCATCGAACGTAGTACAGCGCGTACACCGTTACTTGCAAAAACGTTTATTATTCAATTCTCACAATGAAATCTTAAAACGTCGGGCGTGTCGTCGAAGGTGTACGAAATGAAACAAAGAAGAATGTTACCAGAACATCTCTGTGTGATTTTTTTTTTTTTTTCTTCTTTTTTCTTTATTAAGTTTATCGTTCGCCACGCTGCATCCTACTCTCTTTCTTTCGCGCAATCTCGCTTCCTCTGTCATTCTATCGCTTTCTCTCGGTTAACAGTTGCGATAAAAATTATTTTATTTCATCTATTCTGTAACAAAAAGGCAGGCGAAGTCCCACGTGTCGTCCTGACGACTCCGGGGCGGTGTCGTTCGAGAGACACATGCCGCTGCATGACTTCGTTTCGCTCAAATTCGATCACTTATTTACGATCAGGGCTTGCCGACCCCTTTCCTCCTCTCACCCAGTTTATCTGGAAAGCTGCGCGAAATCTAATCGATTTCTGGTTCTACGAAGGTCGGTCAACCAATTCGTTCATTAAAAGAAAAATATAAAAAGAAAAGAACATTTTCATTAAATCGGTTACTATTTAATCTCTTAGTTTTCCAACATCATGTTGAACCCTATCTATCGATCGTGCACAACACTACACGTATGTACACAGTTCTCGCGTTACACAAATGAACATATAGCAGTATTTTGCTTTGCAAAATGAACGAAATAATTGGCCAACCGAATAGCATAGCTTTTCGAAGTGGTCTGTGTGAAAATGCCCAAGAAACGTTTCTCCAATCATCGAGATAAAACGACTATTTTACTCTCTCTCTTTCTCTCTCTCTCTCTCTCTCTCTCTCTCTCTCTCTCCCTCTCGAGTATACAAATTCATCGCGCGTGTTTGAAAGCTAGCCGCGAAATCACCGACACACATATTGCGGGTGGCTCGCAAAAATTAAAATGCTTTTAAGGCAGTTCGTGTAAGTTGTCCTAGGAAATTTATTATAAATAATCACATATTTTTTTTTTTTTTTATATCGTTCACTATACAAGGCTCCGTTTGTTTCTCTTCCTCGCTTCTGTGTATATGGCTCGTGTCTTGCGTTGCTTCTCAAGCTTTTTACTCGTTCCCTTCTCATTTCATTTTATTCAAAAATAACCACCGCCTAGCACCCCGAGTTCCTGATCACACACAGGAAAATCCCACCATTATTAACTCCTATAGTTTCCTTTTTTCCATTTTTCTCGCGACAGAAATCTCTAAATTAACAAAAATAATTAAACAAGCGTCAACAAAAGCGTACATACGTCCTTCCTTTTGTATATATTGTATTCGATACGCGCGCGCGTGGTGTGTGTGTGTGTGTGTTTGTTTGTCTCTCACTTTCTCTCTCTCTCTTGTTTCTTTTTGTATACGCCTCTTAAATTTTCTCAGCTTCCGTGCTCGTTCGTTTTCTGATATATATCTATATATATTCGCATATATTTTTTGTTCAGTATATCCGTTTTTATTTTTCTTTTTTATTTCTTCGTATTGTATGTTTTGCGCCGTTCCAAAGCCCAGCCCCGGAATTCAGTTACTTTTTAATTAACATATACATATATATTTATACATATATATATCTTAATTCACCTAGACCATGTGTTCGTTGACGTACATTGCTGTTGAGCGAAATGATTTCCTTCAAACAAAAAAAAAAAAAGACTGCCCAAGTAGGTTCATCGTTATTTTCTGAAAGGTCTCTCGATCGCGATCGATCGATCCCTTTCGCCGTTATCGTTCAACTTAATAAGTTACTCTCCCGCGTGCACGCGTGCACGCGTTTCGTTTTTCTTGTCGTGGTTGCCATGTTATGAGTATCATGTGTTCTAATCTATTTCTGCGATATTTCGAAAGCGATCGAACGTGGTAGTAAAGCGTACACGCTAAATGAAAAACAGCACCGTGCGCGAAACAAATTGCGACCGCGCGAACTCTTCTTCCATCGTCCAGTTTCGGCTTCCGCTTCGCCCCGCGGAATCGTACTCGCGCCTTGTTCGGTACGATCCGCGTAGATTAAAAAAAAGAAAAAAAAAAAAAAAAGAATTAAATAGAAAAATTGGTGCTAAATGTTTGAGCATGTCTTCGTACGAAAATAAACCTCCGCGAGAACATTGAACCTCCCGTTAATCGAGATGCGTCCGGTTTTGGCGACAGGCGACTCCTATCGAACGAAATGGATTTACAGCCTGGGCCTTTCGAAACTAGAGCATGTACGTGATCGTGATGCATACTATGATACACGTCTGTTGTTGCGTTCTATCCTAGAAAACGTATTTTATAGCGCAGCTGGGCCACGAAACGGAGAGAGGCGATGACGCAATATTGATTGTTTGTCATTTGATTGAGTCAAGGGAGATGCTTTCAGCTCTGATCTTGCGAGAGGGCACCGTATTTGTTACCCAGAGAAAGTTTGGGCGCTTGAGCTTGTAAATCCTGCACACTGTACGATCTACTTCCCCCTCTATTACGCACTTCTTCGAACGAACCTTCGTCTCGTTTCCTGAAATAAAAGTATCGTTCGTAAATTAGGCTTCGTTCCGTGACAAATCTAGACGTTAACAGGGATGGAATATCGTTAATTCTTACCGTCTACCCCATGGTCCAATGGGTTCTACAACCTGTTGCTGCTTGGAGTTCAATGTCGGGAAATATTCTTCGCTATGTATATCAGGAGCAATATTTTTCCCTCTTTGTCTTGGATTAGCAACTACGGTCGGATTACCCCTTAAGTGTGGTGGCTTATAACTACTTCCGGATGTAACAGGTGGTGGTGGCGCGACTACTTCCGCTGCTACTTCTTGAGGTTGCGGAGGAGGGACATCGGGCTTCTTCCATGGTCCCGAGTGTTTACCACCGGCTTCCCCGGACTCACCGTCGGAACTATTATCTCCTGTGCCCTTCTCATCTTCTGACTCTACGTCCAAAGACTCGTTAAGTGTCAAGTTTCCTATTTTTAAACCGGTATAATCCTTCTTCTCTTCCTCAAATTCCCTCCATTCGTCTTCTTCCTATGAACAAGCATGCTTTAGGCCTACGCGGTGATACAATGATTTCTGCACATGGTTAGAACGTATTAGGTCATTCCATAAGAATAGAAACTGAACCAATTGGTAGCCACCAAGAAGTATCTTGAAACAACATCGAAAGAATTTTATACGCGGACAGAACTTACAGGATAACCTAATACCGGATCGAGATATGCATTGCAGTAACAAAAGAAAAACGAACACTGATCGGGAACCGATTTTTTCGAGAAAAAACACGCGCTAGAACAGGAAACAATCGTACGTGATAATAATCTCGAACAGCTGCTCCGCGTCGGCGATTTATTACCCGAAATATTCGCGTCCGCATAACGATCAAATTATGTAACTGACAAACCGATCTATCGACAACGTCCGTGTATCGAGCATATCAGATTCCAAACAGTCTCTAAGTAAGCAGATTAATTTCGGCAATCGTAGGAATGACGTTTGCGCGAACAAATATGGCAGCGGCCTGTGCCACACACGGGTGATCTGGTATATTCGAGGCACTCGAACGGCTCGTGGACGAAAACGTTAAAGAAAAACGCGAGAAAGCACGCGTCCAAAACAGGAGAATTCTCACCTCGATCTGTTGGGACTCCTCACCCTCCGGGTTCAACGGTTTATCTTTCGTTTTCGACTTTCCCAACCGCTTTCCCGTCTCCTCCAATTTCTTCGCTATCTCCTCGGTGGTCGTGAACTTCTTCCCTTTCGCTTTTTTGCGATCCTTTTTCGCGAAGAAATCGTCCAGGTCAGCCATGCTGCGATGACTTTCGCGATGCACGCGCGAGTTGCCGTTGGAAAACCTTTTTTTGTCACGAGGGGAACACGAGTAAGAGCCTCAACGCGAAATGATCGGAAGCACCGCTGCTGCTGCTGCTGCTGTCCACATGGGCTTGTCTTGGCCGGAAGTCGCCGGAATCACTTTGAAGTCAATGGAATTCCCAAATACGCGCCGAATACACGCAGGAATGACTTTTTACCGTGAAAAATATCACGAGAAATCGCGCCACCGGACAACACCTCTATTTTATTCCTGTATATTGCTTCGATTTTATAAAACATCGAGATATTCGACGACGACCGACCCGAATATGTGGCGCTGACTGTCTAGCAGAAGACAGATGCAAAAAATCCAAGGATCACCTAACCTAAAACTGTCGTCGCGTGTTATAAAATTATCGAGCCGGAGGAGTCATTTTAAAGAAACTAAAAACAGCTCTCGCGTTACAATAACTTACCAGTTGGCACTGCATTTCACAGGACCACGGGAAGGAGTACACGTGCAACGAATGCGACGATGCAGAGGTTAATTGATCCACGATTATTGTATATTTCGCGTGCCGCTGGTGGCGCCAATCGTTGTCTTTCGCTACTTCCGGTATACAAAACGAGACTTCAATTTGCTCGCTCGCATTCGTTTTTTCCTACATTAAAATAAAGCGTCTATGAAATGTTTCTTTCTGTTCCTTAAAAACTTTATGTTAGGATTAGATCGATATGTGTGAAATGTCATTTTGCAGATTCTGTAACGATGTATGATTCGATTGCAAATTAAAAAGACAGGAGTATCGTTTTGCAGCTCCCATAAAATTGTATAAAAATATTCTGTTGATAATTGACAATTTCGTATCTAACATCATACACGATTACTATACTTTGGATTTTGTGGGGCTTAGTACGTGTAAAAAAGCATGCAGAATATAAAGTAATGGAGTAATATTAATATTCTATTTGTATCTGCGCACATCTTTGCATACGTTTAGCGTGCGTTTTTCATACATGCATAAATCTGCAAATGTTAATTATATACCGTTCAGTAATCGAGTAAAAGTTAGTCGTTACAAACTTTCTCCATCTTACATTTCGTTCGATCGAACGTCGAGAATTAATCGCTACATTTCCGAGAAGTGTAAATAGATTAGTATTTCTTATTATTGACGTCCCTTTTCCTTTTGCCCACGTCAGAGATCTCCCGCGTACCGACGGTAATCGACATTTGCCAATAATTATCAACGGCTATCGATAATTAATAGATTGCTATGCATTTGCACGTTTCCAGGAAGCGTCGATAGATTAGCGTTAGTTATTATCGACGTCTCTTTGTTTCTCAACATCATAGCGATTTAATCTCTTTACGTTGTTTTTACGTCTCTCGTTCGGATACAATGTTTCTTATCTACGACCTCCCACCAGTCGGCCGGGAGTCACGAGTACACGGAGGCGTTTTGAAAATGGCGCCGCGGGCAGCCTCCACATTCTCGTACGTCATGGGGTACGCAGCCGCGCGCATATGTGAGGTAACATATAGGGGATCCCTTTCTCGAAACGCCAGTAATCGTGTCTAGCCTTGCCACGAACCACAACGAACGGTGGTGTCTCCTGTCCACGCGTGCACGTACTACACAAAAAAGCTTCGCGCTATTTCACCTGCCTGCTGTAGATTCTCCTTTCAGAAGGCTTGACAGTTTTCGTGCGTGTCGTAGCGAAGGAAGAACGGCCGAAGGCAGCCTGGGTCTGTTGTGGGATCGAGGGGAAACCGAGCCAGCGGCCAAAAGAGGCGTTCATGTGTTACGGGGCACGGCAAAATGAAGCTCACGTCAAAGTGTCTCGGGAACATCAGCAAGATGCTGGACTTTTACTCGCAGTTCAACCCCTCGCCGCTTTCGATAAAACAGTTCATCGATTTCGGTGAGTGAGAGACGAGAGAAACCGGAGAGCGAGAAAGAGTGATCACCGTTTGGTGGCGAACGACTGCAACTCTACCGCGAGTCCGAGGCGAGAATGCTCTTTCGTAATTTGTTTTGCTTTTTTTCTTCTTACGTCGGTGGTGAACGCGCATCGCGCTCGAAAGGGACGCGAATCGATCGAACGTCGACCCTCGATACCGAACTATCGGTTTCGGTGTCCGTTCGATAACGCAGTTGCGACGATCGCGAGGCCATCGAACCCGCTCTGTCTAGTTCACGCGATGGTTTACAGTGACGAATGGTAAACTCGTGACCGCGTTCCTGTCACCCTTTGACTTTTCCCTCGTCCCGGGTGTCGGGAAATCGAGAGATCCGCCGTTTCGAGTATCGTCTCGTTGTCGATCGGAAAACGATAACATCGTCGTGCTGCACGGTGATCGCGACTATATGTAGTTCGCGGCCTTCTTGATCAGGGTTGCGTGGATGATGTAATAGTTGGTATGCGTAAACAAAGCGGACACCGTTGATATAGCTCTTCTTCCGTTCACCGGAGAACCATCACGGTCACGTACATTAATCGTTGGACGATACACGGCGAAATACGTTCGAGGCATTATTCGGTATCTCGTTCGCTGGATGAGATCACGTCTTGTTGGGGCGAAGAATTGGCAAAAATCGAGACCCTCTGATTAGAATATCAGACATATGGAAATGATGTAATAGCGAGAGAAATGTGTACCAGCATTCTGTCGTTCTATCTTATGTTTAAGTTAGATTGCAACTTAAGAATTAAGGACCCGTATTTGACGACCTTACATCTTCTATAAAATGCAGTGATTCTTGCACTTATAATTCTGTTCTTTTTAAATATGGTGAATATTTACGAAAAAGGTATGAACCGAAAATGTTCCATTCAATGTACATTGTACATTCGGCAAGATGCAAGGTCGGTGCTCTTTCTATTTTCTTTGTATTGAGTCTCAAATGTCACTGCACTTTTCAATAGGCCCGTAACAGCTGTGTTAATTTAATCCTCGAACAATTGTTCAGCCCCGCTTGCGCTCAAGTATCGTGACGATTACGTTCCGCGGAAAATATTATATCATTGTTTTAAAGCAGTTGTACCCGAGGAGACGTTTTATTGGTGCTCGTTGCATCTTTAGCGTGAGCATCGTTTCAGCGATGTAAGGAATTTTTTTCTCGAAAATGCGTAGAATTTCGGGGGTATGTGTAATGACCAAAAATGATTATAATTGACCCCCGCAATCGAAAATAATTTTTTTAAAACGATTCGAAAAACTTTTTTTCCGTCGAAAAATTTCACACCTTCTCGAATTTTTTTCTCAAAACTGGTTAGGATTTCAAGGGTATGTCTATTGACCAAAAATGCTTGTAATTGACCCGTGCAATTAAAAATAATTTTTTTAGAACGATTTAAAATGTCTTAATTTTGTCAAAAAATTCATCTAATTACTGAATTTTTTTCTCGAAACTGGTTAGGAATTCGAGGGTATGTCTATTCACCAAAAATGATTATAGTCGACCCCGTAAAATAAAAATAATTTTTCCAGAACGATTTGAAATATTTTTTTTCCGTCGAAAAATTTCACACCTTCTCGAATTTTTTTCTCGAAACTGGTTAGGATTTCGATGGTATGTCTATTGACCAAAAATGCTTGTTATTGAACCGTGCAATTAAAAATAATTTTTCCAGAACGATTTGAAATTTTTCGTAACCCTGTATGTATATGCACCAACATTGTATCTCAGTATATGTCGCGACGCTTAATTTAGCGACATTTTTGTTAAAAATTTAATACTAATCAGAAGGGATATTTTTTACACAACATTTTAAACCCAAAAATTCATTCGCGAGAATCAAGTAACGTCGACTGTTTTTGAATTTATTTACGACTCGTATTGGATCGACTAAAAACAATTACGTCAATCTTATCGACGGTAAAAAAAAGAGCAACGCGATGTATTTCTATATTTTTGCCTCCGATGAAGAGCATCCGTTGATGCAACAAATGTTGCCCATGCGTAATCGCATGGCACTTTTATTCCAGATTTATCTGATATTACTTATAATTTATTACCGTCTGCGAACAGTATTTTTAACGTTGTGAACTTAAATGAAAAAATTCGCGTCGCGAGAATCAAACGATTTTGGAATTTATTTCGAGAAACTCTGAGCAGAACTTTGCGAGAAATCGATTCAAAATAAAATAAAGCAATGATGTATCATCGTTGCACATCGAGATGCAGATGTTTAATTTTGAAGCTTCGACGACGGATGCACACCTGATTCATTGACTGCGTCGACTGAATGCATAAAGTACGTCCGCCGAACGAATCAACTAATGGCCTCGAACGTCGAGTTAGCCTCGATTAATTTTAGAGTAATCATCGAGTATTACAACTTGATAAAAAATAAAAATTACTAATATTCTGCTTGTTCACATTTAAAACAAAAAAAGACGCACAGATCTTACGGGGATTCGTGTATTTTTTATTAATATTAATATTTTTGTTAATATTACTTGTTGACTCGCTTCTTTGCATCAGAGGATGACTTATATTTGATAAAGAAGAAATGTACGAATAAAATATCATTTAATTCTTAATATAATAATAAAATTCTTTCGTTCTTCGTGCAAACAGTTGAAAAACGCGTGGTTCGAAATTACATCGCGTTACCACGGCGAACGTATCGTGCGAAAGCTCGCTTTGTTCACGTGTCCCTTACAAGGGAAGCACTCAATTTGTCCCCTATCGATTTTAACCTACTTTCATAGGATGGAAGATTATAAGTGACCATTGATATGTATAAAATATCAAGTTTAATAGGTCGATAATTTTACCACGAGCGAAGTAATATATTTCACAACGAACAAGCCGTCAACTATAATTTTTTATATCTCCAAAAATCATGGAATCACCAAATCTAATATTTTACACGAGAATCTGAAGTTCTTAAAAGTAGGTTAAAATTAAAATGGTGCATGTTAAATTCCTCCATTGTTTGACAGGTAAAAGAATAATATTGCTCGACGTGTAGAGCCTTTGTTCTCATATTTGAATCATGCACCACAAAGCAGACGGTAGTGCCGATCTGGCTTATCAAACGTTCTGCATCAATATGCTGACACACCCGTCCTTCAAACGAATTGGACATTGGAAGCGTTGTCAATAGTTAGGAACGGTTCGCGAAACAAGATAATGACACACCAGGCTGTTGTTAAATAAGCGATCCCGTGGCGTATTTCGTCTAATCAGGGCTAAAGGTGGTAAAAACAATCTGTTTACACATTCCCGTTCGGCGTTCGGCGTTGCGTCACCGATAACACACGAATTCCACCAACAACCGCTCTCTAAAAGGTGAAAGGCACCAAATTCGTCAGAAAATACAACGAACAAGGCATATATGTCCTTGAGAGCATTCTGAATGCTAGATAAATTGCTATCAATTTATTTAATCAAACCTTTCTCCACAAATGTCAAGTAGGCAAATTTAGATTTCTCTAAACTGGGAAAAATTGTACTGGGAGATTCTAGAGGCCAAAATAAGACGAAAATCAAGAATACCAATTTCTTGATGGAGGCTTCGTTAAAAAGTTATTAACGTTTAAAGTTAAAGTGTGCAGCGTGCACGGTTCCCGTCTCACAGGCGGAACTTGAAACGTTAATAACTTTTTAACGAAGCCTCCAACAACAAATTAGTATTCTTGATTTTCGTCTTATTTTGGTTTCTGGAATCTCCCATTAAAATTTTTCCCAGGTGTGACTGAACCGTATGATCCTCATTCAGAGAAATCTAAACTTGCCCAATAATCGAAGGTCTGGGTTATACATTTAAAAAAACGTAATATACAAGACTGACGAAAAGAAAAAACGGTAATGAGACATCCAAAATAACACTCTTTTTTTCGTAAGAGTCATGTACGTTACAATTTTTGAAATGCGTAGTTTCTTGTAACACTGAACCAATTAGCCGCGTTATAGGAGCATTGTCTGTACATCAAATCGATTAAAGGTCGTTCAGCTGTTTTAATGCGTCGAAAGGAAACGTGTACGAAAATTGTTGAAGTGTATCAGGAAAGATTAATTAAATCGTGTCCACCGGTTTGCGTCAGAGTCGTTCGGATTCGGATCTGATTTTATCGGGAATTTAAACTCCAAGGGTTTACACGCCCACGTCTATGACGAAGATTCCGCGGAAATGTGGCAGTATTCCAGTCGCAATAATAACGCGTTTACTACTCTATTTTCGCGAATGTCGGTCGCGGACCAATGGCTGCGGTCGACGCCGGGGGACGGCGCGTCGTTTCAAAGCCGATTGGTACGTTCACCTTGACCTCCTCGCGAACAACCTGCTCGAACATTTCCACGTCTTGGCGCGATAAACAATATCGAGGAAATCCAAAATATTTTTTCTAATACTCTGTTTTCAATTACCAAGTCGTTCGAACGAAATATTTGAACAATTATAGAGCGAAAAAAGGTTAAAAGCGTTTGGAAACGCTTCACCGCAATTTTTGTAGATAGTGGTTCTGCGCCTTGGCATTCAAGGAACGATAAGCTACGAAAGAAAAGGAAAATTTCTCGCGCGAAAGGAAAATCTACGTAATTTTATGTAACGTTTAACGACCGTAAAATCTATTTTTACATATTATCGAAGAAACTGACAAGAAAGTACTTGAAAGAACTTATTTACATCAATATATATTTGACCTCGCTTATTTATGTATGAACTTCTTTTACGACGAACAGAAAATATAAATTACAATATTTTAACTTAATTTTGCTGATTTGTAAAAGGGGGTATATATTTGTAATGTTTACATTGGCTCCTAAATAAAATGTTTAATATATTTGAATCTCCAATAGTTATGTTTCCATTACTGTTGTAATGCAACTGTCTAAATAAATCGAATGGAAGTGAATTAAAGGCTTCTATGGTAAATAGCGGACAGCTTTGTCGTAAAGTGATTCACGTATGACCTACTGGTTTGCAAATAAAGACGACAGACGGGTCGGCGTTAATTACTAAATGCAGACGGCCAACCAAAGGTGAAACAGGATGTTATTGCAACCAGTGTTTTGAGACATTAACATATTCATATGCATGGTCGTGAAAATTGAGGATCGTTCTAGGTAATACTAATTTAAATCATGTGCAACAGGCAGATGATGATTGAAAAATACCACAGAGTGATCGACCACATCTGGGAAAAATTATAATGGGAGATTCTAGAGGCCAAAATAAGACGAAACCCAAGAATACCAATTTGTTGATGGAGGCTTCGTTAAAAAGTTATTAACGTTTAAAGTTTCGCCAGTACTGAATTTTTTTCTCGAAAATGCGCAGGATTTCGGTGGTGTGTCTATTGACCAAAAATGATTGTAATTGAGCCGTGCAATTAAAAATAATTTTTTTAGAACGATTTGAAATGTTTTAATTTTGTCAAAAAATTTATCTGATAACTGAATTTTTTTCTCGAAACTGGTTGGGATTTCGAGGGTATGTCCGTTAACCAAAAATGCTTGTAACTGACCTGTGCATCTAAAAATAATTTTTTTAGAACGATTTGAAATGTCTTAATTTTGTCAAAAAATTTATCTAATTGTTGAATTTTTTTCTCGAAATTGGTTAGGATTTCGAGGGTATGTCTATTCACCAAAAATAATTATAATTGACCCCGCTAAATAAAAATAATTTTTCTAGAACGATTTGAAATTATTTTTTTTCGTCGAAAAATTTCACATCTTCTCGAATTTGTTTCTAGAAAGTTGGTAGGTTTTCGAAATTTTTTAATAACTTTATAACGAAGCCGCAGTCAAGAAATTGATATTCTTGATTTTCGTCTTATTTTGGTCTATAGAATCTTCCATTTTTTCCAGGAGTGGCCCAACGCCCTCTACAACAACGTTATTTACCGCCTACGCGCGACCCCTCACGCATTCGCGACTCTGCTTGTCGCTCGAGGAACACGATTACGATGATTCGAGCAAGTTCCACAAGCTGGAAGTGTGACCGAGTTTTTACACTGTCGACGAATCAGGTTCGCGACGGAAACGAGCCCTTCGTCCTTCTCTTAAAATCGATCGATCGACCTCGAATCGAACGAAAGGGCTTAATACCTTAATTCCTTTTCAATTTATCTCTTGATTTTATCTTACTTCCTGCCAATTCCTTTTATACATTTAACCTCGTTCTCGTTTTGACGAGCAAAATCGTTGATCAAATAAAAATGAAAAAAAATGATGTACGCGTTGATTAAAAGTGCTCGCGGTCGAAATGTCACTGGTTATGTCCGTCATTCGTAAGACCAAGGTTATGTTTTTTATTTCACAAACATGGCGGTGTTAATTTGTGGCTTCCAAGTATCCAATTTTACCATGTTCGTACGTTCATTACTTGTAAACTCAATAAGGAATAATTTGTATCTTGGTTAACGATTATTGAACAACGTGATTCGTTACGTAAAAACAATGATCGATATGTGTGATATACTTGATACTATGTAGTGTAATATCTCACGTGTTGATTATGTGCTCACAATATCTTTGCACGCCAGGCATTAACATAATTAATTACTAAGAAACATTAATTATTCATAAGTTCTTCGTAAAAGCAAAAGATTCGCGAGTTTTTACAAAACTATAAAAATAATTTCCAAACCTTTTCAAATTAGCTATCACTCTAACCTCTATTTCGAGAAAGGTGAAAACATTTTATTTTATCAACCGTTTTATCGTTCCAAGAACAAAAAATTATATACTATCATCGTTGTTAAATAGTTACAAACTTGGCACTTACTCGCGGCCTCGAATTTTATTAACCACTTAACGCTCAAGCACGAGTGTACTCTGGTAAATGCAGTTTGCATTTCCTCTTAACTCGAGTTAAAACCGGCCATTTTAAAGTATAACCAACATAAACACAACTAAAAACAATATAACTATCAAAATAAATTAAATATCAAATTTTTATTCTAACTCCACGTCGTTTTAATCTTCAACCTCGACAAAAGACCCACCAGACCTAACCTAACCTCAAAAGAAACTCCTAGTATAATAAACTCTGAGAGTTGCATTCGTTTAAAACGATTCAGTTTATACTGGTATTCAGAAGAAGTATTTAATCTCTCAAACTCACTTATTATTATTATTATCGATAAAAAACCCAGACCTAACCTAACTTTAAAAAGAAACTTATGGTACAATAAACTCTGAAAGTTGCATTCGTTTAAAACGATTCAGTTTATATTGAAATTTAGAAGAAATATTTAATTATTCAGACTCACTTATTATTATTATCATCGATAAAAAAACCAGACCTAACCTAACCTCAAAAAAGCTCATAGTACAATAAACTCTGAGGGTTGCATTCGTTTAAAACGATTCAGTTTATACTGGTATTCAGAAGAAGTATTTAATCTCTCAAACTCACTCATTATTATTATCATCGATAAAAAAAATCAGATTTTGACGATTTTGAAATAAGGTTTGCGTAGGTCTAAATGGACCCAGGAGTCTCTTGATTGTAGACTAATATTTTTCTTGAAAATTCTCAGCGTAGGTGATTTTTAGTTGTCGAAGAAAATTGATCCAAAGTGCCCCGAGGTTGGATCTCGAGCCTCTTTCGTTCCTGAGAGCAGATGTGTTTATAGTCCCCCGTAGCTTTTCTCATTTTAGAAAATCCAACAACGCTTTGGTGTCCTCTTCTCTGTGCTCGTTCGAGATTCCCCGTGGGATCGATCAATGCATTTGCCCTCGTTCTTTGATTCCCGACCTTCCGCCCGGAAACTCATTTTCCAGGCCGTCACGCCTTCTCGAAGCGTTGGGCTTTTCAAGAGAATTTACACAAGACTCTTTCAATTCCGTCCATCTTCCGTTGCAGGCACGAAACGTACTCTTTAACACATTTGTTTGATGTTGATAATCGACGATAATTACGGTGTTCAAGATTCGCTTACACGGCACTTTACCGAGCACTTATATGCTCGGTTCTTATGCAATACGAACGAGAATGCGCCTTCGTCTCGCTAAACACAATTACCTACAATGAAACTTGTATTCTGCAGGAACTGCAGAATCTTGCAAACACGTTTCGATCGTGGAAATTAAGATATTGTTTCGTTAATAACGAGAGTTACTTGGGTGGTTGTCTGGACGTGTTGTTTTTCAAGCTCTACCAGAGATAATATTGTTGTGGCGACTTACTGTTCGTAAGACGAAGCGAGTGAGATAGTAGGAGGAAAGAACAGTAGCAGGGGAACCTTAGCAGGCATTTAACAATCGGTTGAGACGTGTACTTATAGGAACAGATGGTCGGTTGAGCACTTGTGAGAGAGATACAGATCGAGCGTCTCCCTCTGTTGGCGAGTAGGTGAGGTGCATCACGATATCAACTTTATTATACAACATGATGAATCAGAAAGGTTCAAGATCGATTACTGTTACGTCAGGAACTAAATACTTTGTCTATGTTTACATGCAGTATTCTAATAGGAAACATACTGTTCGCATAATAGCGTTCATATAACAGATAAGGGAGATTCCATTGTAAAGGTCATATATTCCAACGTGTGGTATATACACTTTTAAAGTTTAATCGCATCTTCTTATCTCTGTACGCCACTGTTGTTTTAAGGCTCAAGTATAATAACCAAACAAACTGTTTATAGCAGCTATTACTTCAGATTTATCACTCCTGGGTGAACACAGTTGGAAGGCCATTTTTATTTAAATTTACTTTTCATTCTTCATCGTACATAGGTGCGATTCTTTTTCAAAAGCAAAAGAATAATTTGGTTCAAGCAGAAAGCGAGCGAACAGATTCTTCTTGCTTCACTGGGTCAAGCTTCATTCGCAATTTTGCGTCTCTCTCGTCCGCTTTACAATGCACTAATTATACCCAATAACGCGGAAAATATGGGTCAAGCTCTTCCCCATCAAACAGAAGTTAAATCACAGAAAATTAATGTCACGCGCTTCCGCGCGAGTGACATATTATTTGCCGTTACTTGCTTCGAAGAGTATAATATTTCTGTTTCTTTTTTCTTTTTATCGTTCATATCGTCACGTTGCAATTTATTATTGCCCCGTCGCGTGATCGTTAATTAAAATTTTATTTGCCGAACGAGGACGACTCGTATAAAACTCGAGTATCCAGTCGGAGTAATTGTTAATTGGCAATTCGAAGGAGCAACGTCGATAACGAAACTAACAATCGGCGATCGTAGACCAAGTTTGTTTTTATCGGTTGCACTCACGTTCGAACGTTTATTGCAATTGTCAATTTGCTAAATATTTATCTTACCATTAAGGAAATAGAGTGCCTTTGGTGATATTTCTAATCTACGTAGATTGTCACTCTTAACGCTTTAATGGCCGCACGTATCGCGCGAAGACCGTTGTTCGTCACCATTGATGGATCAAAGTGAGATACACGAAAATGCTAGGAATATTATTTTGAGTTATAAATGTAAACCTCAACAAATGTAATAAGTCGAAAGGGTGACTGATACGGTAGATCACGCATGCGTGACAGTGGCCAACGTCTGCTAGCTTCCAAAGTCACGTATACGTGACAGCGGCCGTCAAAGCGTTAAGAAAAGCGTTCATTATCAGGTCTGACTCAGAACACTTCGCACAATGCGTCTAGTATATTCAGCAATAATAATATGCATCGTCAACCAAATGAATGTTCGTGTTTCATAAATTAAAATTATTGATCGCCGCCCTTTGGTACCCAAATTCCTTTTTACACGACCTGCGACAAGAAACTGGCCGCAGACAATTTTAGCGCCATCGAACGTACCAGGATGCGTTCCCCGGAATTTCCAATATGGCCGAACGTAGCCGCGGACCACCTTGAAATAAAAAACTATTTTGGTGCGGTGGACGGGAATACGTCGCCGATTATGTATGCATATAAATACACAGACGGTTAAAGTCCAAAGGCCGGGGAGGCTCGGCCGTCGCGAATACGTAAATAATCGTATCGTTTCGCGTCACCGGCGTATCTTATCGCGTAGGAAGTGTTTTCTTTTCGCGTTTCACGAAAGATCTAAAATACGCGTCGACCTGATTTCACAACACCGTGACAACAGTGCGTCGACTTCTTCGAGGCTTCGCCGCAGACGTGTCGTAATCTTATTGCTTTCTCCCCTCTTGTTAGCAGGACAAAAGTATCGGTCAAAATTTGACCTTTCACGAGCTCCTCGAATCTAAAAACGCGGAGAAAAAAAATGGTTACCAACAGCTCTGCTGTTCGAGGATTGTATTTTGAATTTTTTTAAATATATATAATCAAAGAAAGGTCATATTTGGTATGTTAAGTTTGGTATACGAGACACTCGCGCCATTAAATTAAAAAGAAATGTGAATAACTTTTTATCATACATGTATGCACTCTTCATTTTTATGTCTTAAGCTTTCGACCTTTCGATTCAAGTCTTCGGTGATAATCGATAATATCAAATAATCAAGATCTCAATCTATACGTAATTTCGTCCGCGATTTATAATTTAATCTCTATAAATATTTACGAACATTCTTATCGTTTTGGTATAAATACGCTGCTATTGTATTAAATTAGTTGTTTTGTTACATTTCCTTCCTGACATCGTATACTTTGAATTTAATATTAATGGGTATTATCCTCCAAGAATTTAATATTAATGGGTACTATCGAACGTCAATTAGGATAATTGAAGAACAACTTCGTACATAAAAATAAAGATTTACAAGAGAAGTTTAAAAGAATCATTTTAGAATTTACAAATATTACAAAATTGGATATATTTCTAGCAAATGGACTGTTCACCGATCAGGGTTAATTATACGACATTCGATTCATCTAATTCAGTACATTATTTGCGGAAATTCGTTATTTTTGTTTAAACTTGGAAAGTTCCAATAAAAAAGTATATTTTGAAAGGTTCACAGGTAGAAACAAAGGAAGTCAAATGCTAATTTGTTAAACATTTATTGAATGAAGGGCACAGAATGTTTTTTTCTGATGCTCTGTCGATGGATCCATAGTATGTCAAATTTGATTCAAGGGCACATTTGTCCCCCTTATTCAGCTATACCCTTTCTGCTATATCTGCTAATATTTCATTGAATAAATCACCATTTTCCTGTTAGGTACATTTACTAAATACATAATGGCTCAGGTATCCAATGAAGTTACCCTTAAATACAGATAGTATTATATGTTATAAAAAAGATTAAAGAATGTGTGGTATGCCTCCAAGTGGTCTCAATTTAATTTGAATAACCATCTGTAATGGGATCTTCAAAATTGACGCTGTGATTAATTTTCAAATGGCCTCTGTGATGTTTTATATGACAAAATCTTGATTCATCAATCTCAACAATCTTCTCTACCCTTCCAATTGCTGTGCAGAAATTATACAGCCAATCGACCATTGCAAGACAGTATTTTTATTTAATTTTAGTTATATAAGAATATGACATTCCTCATAATCGTATGATAGCATTAATTTTAGAACATCTGTAGCTGAGTTAGGTCTGGGTTATTCACTTGACCTACTTCTGCATAATATGTGCATAAAAAAATGACTTTTATGCATACATACAAATTAGCATTTGACCACCTGGGATCTATAATTTACACCATGAACCCAATAACGACGGTCATTTGTTTCTACCTGTGAATCTGTCAAAATATACTTAACCTTACATTTTTACTGCAACTTTACGACAAGTTCGAACAAAAATAACGAATTTCCGCAAACAATGAAATGCGTATTAATAATGTACTGAATCAGACGAATCGAATTACGTATAAATCCCCGAGAATTGTTCGGTTTGGAATAAGTAAATAAATCCTATTTTAACTCGGTAGTGCGGAAATACGTAATGCTGTTTTGCATTGAAATCTTTGCAGCGAGACTCGAGCAGAAAATGCACGTCGCTTCTTGCACGTGACAGACAATTTTATGCACTTTATTGTCTTCCGTAACAGGTGACGGTATTCTGTTTGACTACGCGCGACGTCATCCGTCGATAAGATATTAATAACTTCATTCTCGAAAGAAACGTCTGTCGAGTGGTACTTCCGCGGTACAAAGATATAAAATAAAGCTAAATCGATTCGGAGTATAATCGAACTTTGTTATTCAATGTATGATACACGCGTTAATTCTTATTAATATAATTTTGGGAACGCGTCCACTGCGTATGTAATATAAATTATGACAATTTGTTGATCCATTACCTTGGACCGCTGTTTATCTGATAATACACATTATAGTCGCTGATATCGCGGTTGCAAATATTTGAACTAGGTTCCTTCGAACCGGAAATGAGCAAAATTTTAATCGAACTGTTAGAATTTGGTGGTCATTAAAAGTGGGTTGGCAACACTGGTAAAAAAAGAAAAGAAGAGACGAACGATGAATATACTCGAATTTTTTTCTCGATACTGAGCAGGATTTTGGGGGTATGTCTATTGATAAAAAATGATTGTAATTAACCGCTGTAACTACATATAATTTTTTTATAGCGATCTGAAAATTTTTAATTTCGCCGAAAAATTTATCATCTACTCGAATTTTTTTCTCGAAAATGCGCAGGATTTCGGGGGTATGTCTGTTGACCGAAAATGATTGTAATTGACCCCTGTAACTAAATATAAATTTTCCAGAACGATTTGAAATTTTTTAATTTTGTCGAAAAATTCACACACACTCGAATTTTTTTCTAGAAACTGGTTAGGATTTCGGGGGTATGTCTGTTGACCAAAAATGCTTATAATTGATCCCTGTAACTAAATATAATTTTTCCAGAACGATTTGAAATTTTTTAATTTTGTCGGGAAATTTGACACATTATCGAATTTTTTTCTAGAAAGTGGGTAGGATTTCGGTAGTATATCTGTTAACCAAAAATGCTTGTAATTGACCCGTGTAACTAAATATAATTTTTCCAGAACGATTTGAAATTTTTTAATTTTGTCGAAAAATTCACACACACTCGAATTTTTTTCTAGAAACTGGTTAGGATTTCGGGGGTATGTCTGTTGACCAAAAATGCTTATAATTGATCCCTGTAACTAAATATAATTTTTCCAGAACGATTTGAAATTTTTTAATTTTGTCGGGAAATTTGACACATTATCGAATTTTTTTCTAGAAAGTGGGTAGGATTTCGGTAGTATATCTGTTAACCAAAAATGCTTGTAATTGACCCCTGTAACTAAATATAATTTTTCCAGAACGATTTGAAATTTTTTTTTTTCGTCGAAAAATTCAGAAGATCCGCGAATAAAATTTACCGTATTTTGTATTGAACGAATACGTGATTCAACGAAGATCCCATCTGCGGATAACCTATCCCCTGATCGAGGCTTTGATCGTTGGAAAATCGTTTACGCGTGAAAGACCTCCATTCTCTTCAGTCTGCTTGGCGCGGATAAAGTCAGCGTGCAATTTCACGGCAATTTATCATTGGGTTACCGATTTGCACTTGGCAGCGAATCAGCTGCTACACCGGTTTATCTCGTTACAGAAAGTGCAGGCCTGCCCTCTGGAAAAATTGACGTAAAAGTACCGTTCGTGTCCACGAAACCGTTTTCCGATCGATCAAAATCGTTGCAGCAATTCTAATGAATTATTTCCAACACTTTTCCCGTATTCTAAAATTGTCCCAAGGATACATGCGATCCAATGAATGAGAAATCGTCCGACGATTGTACACGGAATAAGAAATCGAGGTTTGATAAAAACAGACCGCTTTTAGCAATTCACTGCCTTTGCGTGTTCCGCGTTCGTCGATTGTAATTAAATATCGACGATTCTGTTCGTTTCAATGCACCTACGTATATTCCCCCTTTGATCGTACGTTTTTGTTCTTCGTGCAACGTATTTCCGTAACCGCGAACACATATCGACGATTTTACACGACCACGTTAATTTTAGGACATTGAGGTTAGCGTTTATTCACGGATAACGAATACAAATTTTTTGATTTATTAGTGAACTTAAGACAATTAAGGGAATAGGCAAGAGTGACGTCAAAGATATTATTTATACGACTGCTAATGGTTCTGGAACGCGTGTTGAGGTGTTGATTGGGGTTATGTTCAACGATCACCACATGAATACACTCGTGGCTCAGGTATAATAGTTTATTAAATTCACCCTCGATACTTCGCACTTACTCGACACTCGACGCGTGCTCGACGCATCTGATTACCCAAACGATTCCTTACGACACAGATTCTCGCCACGCCGCACATAGGTGCGTACAGATGTGTAACAGTCGTCCCAGTGAGGCGCACGCATTCGAGCGGCCATCTTGAATCCCATTCTCAACACGCGAAAATTCAAATTTTCCCGACATAGCTAATATGAACAGAGAAATTTTATAATCTAGTTCGTGGATGAAAGTACAGAAAATTAAAAAATTAGCCACAAAGGGAGTGTATTAAATATGAATTAAGTCTCCCAATTATGAAACTAGAATTGGATTTTGTTGAAATTGTGGCTGTTCCATCGAACATTGGTTCAATTTCATAACAGATGTTTAATATCGAAAGTGGTCGTTCAATCTTGATACACAGCCAACGTAAACACAGTCTCCATCCTGAGAGCAGGACTGGCTTTACGCGAAGCCAAACGATACGCCTTATCGGGGCGCTTCGACAAAAAAGAGAAAACCAAAGAAATTCACGTTACATAAATTACGTATTATTATATCTCGCTGTAGCTTTCCATACGAAATGATAAAATAGATATTGATAAAATTATTAGCATTTAAGAAGCAGGGAAAGTAAATTAAAAAAAATTCTGCCATGGATCGACTGTAATTTACGTGATAATATTGTTACGTAACGAAATGTTACGATCCCAATGAAAATGAATTTCGTAGGTTATCGTAAAAATTGAGACGAAATAATCTAACCAATTTACTATTACCGCTAACATGTCATTATTACATATTAACTATGTAATTAGAGAATAATTATTATATAAATTGCCATGTAATTACGGTGTAATTGTCCAGAAATTAATACGTGATTACCGTATGATCGGTACTCGTTAAGCCGTGTAATCATCGTACATTTATTTCTTAACCGTTATCGTAGATCATCAATCGGATTACAAATAACTACGATTATTTGATCAACAAAACTACGACGTTTAGGTTATTATCCCCAACGATTGACGATTGGGAACGCTGCGTGCCAATCGAATACTGCATTGCGCAGTTGTGATAAATCATATTTAGTCTACGGCCTTATTGTGGCATGTCGTTAGCTTTACAACAAGATTAAATTATCTACAACGACAACCTTTTAGTTTTATTAGAAGATTGCAACGAAAGTGGCACGTTTCATTCAATTTACAAACTCGTCTAAAGTTAGTAATAAAAGCGTAACGGGAATGATCCAATCTCTTCCAAATAAGAACTGCTATCTATGAACATAAATTTAAAATAAAAATGACTAACGAATTACCTAATTCTTTATGGGAGGAATGTTAAAACTAATGTAATTAATTACGTATAATATTGCAAATAGAATTATTTGGTTTGTTATTCTTTTAAGAATAATACGATTAAGAGAATTACAGTGAAAACTCGATGAATGTCCTCAGGAGCTGTCCCGTAAATGCTACACTTTTATCCCCACCACTAGGGGGAGCCCCCCTCGAACCAGCGAGGCTAAATGTAACCGGAGACGTATCGCCTATCTTTAAAAATCTTTATTGCCTTCGTCACCTTCGTTTGAATGCCCCTGCTGTGTGATCACACTACTGTACAAAAGAAAATTTTTTATTTTATACTCTTTGTTAATAAAAATTTTACTATCACGTGGGGGAGATTTTTCTGATTAAAACGAGACCAAACACGATATAAATCGGTCAATATTTGGTAGCGTAAAATTGAATTCTATCCAGATTGGATCGAGTGAAAATTTCTCGAATCATAATAAGCCATACTAAACTGACCTACGAATACCTCTTCGACAAAGAAGACCCCCCTACATGCGAACTGTGCAACGATCAACGGTTTGAGGTGCTGGGTGCATTTACCGAATAGGAGGTAGCTATTTTCAAACGGAACGCTTCCGCTGTTCCGTAAGTGATCAGAAACTGCAACACTTATGAGATTGGAGGTTCCGTTAGCTACCTCTGTTCTATAAATGTACTATTCATTGACCTTGCGAATATACGAGTACGTACATGTTTCGGAGGTGCCATTAAGTACCCTTCCCTAACCTCACTGAGACATTCGCTCGAAATTGACACGTCTTGGCACGCAATTTCAGATTTTGTGCGGACTGAAATATTTTCAGAAATGAAAAGTTCCTCTTTTTACGTTCGAGGTGTCAGCAAACTGCAATCAAATTCGAAAAACGATTCTACTATTCCATAAGTGTTCCTGACCGGATCCGGATTCGGATTCGGACCCGGACTAGCGACATCTATCGAGTTTTCACTGTATAAATTTTTTAACGAAATATGATAAAGGCTATCCCAGTACACGGTTATTGACGCGATGGTTAAATGGGTCATTGTGTATATGTCGAGGGTGCCAAATTGAAAGTTGTATCGGGGCGCCAGTAACTATAGCGACGACCGTGCTTCGGAAGATTGATAAAGCGGTATCAATCTATACAGTCAGGGTTATGCCCTCCGCAACGATGCGTTCCAGACACAAACGATGGCTAGGAAACGGAGAACGGATGTCGTGCACGTTACACGACGAAGGCTCATGCGTGACCTAGTTTGCCGCACGTCCGTGAACAAACTACGAGAAATAATGAAATAAACGGCTGTCGAAAGTGGGGGTCTATTCTTCTTCAATTTAATCGAGCAAAGAGAAATACGTGTCGTTCGAACGGAGGACGTGTTCGCGTCGCCCGACGATTTTTTAAAAGTAAAAATAGAAATGAAGAAAAAAACAAATCGTAACGTCCGAAAGTTCTTCTGGAACGATCGTATCAAAACAAGACGCGATTCGCAGAAACGTATTCCGAGATAATGTATCGCCATCGACGCTCGTCGGAAAAAAAGTTTTTTTTTCCCCGCCTGTAAATTCGTTCTGCTCGTTTTAACAAAGCAGAAAGTTTGCGTAATAGACGTTGTTTGCGAAATTTGACGTTCCTGCGTCGCCTCGAGTCATCAAAACATGGTCGAGACTACCGAGAGCGTAAATCGTCGCGATAAGACCTTTCGATCGTTATCGTATTTTTCACCGTGCAATACCCTCTTGGTAAATATGTTTACCTTCTGGTGGAAAGAAATATATCAAGCACGAGAGATAACGTTGTTTACCTTCTGGTGGAAAGAAATATATCAAGCACGAGAGATAACGTTGTGTTGTTGCTCTTGAGTCGGCGATCGTAAAAAAGAAATTGCCAAGATATAGTGTAGTAGTTCGATCTGCTGTCCGACGTGGATTAAATATTAAGGATACTTCATCCAAGCGTACCGTATGTTGTTTCTCGATCTTTCGCAAAATGTTTTCGCGTCGAATGTTACACACATATGTAGTTCCACGCCAGTTTTACAAACAAGGAAAAACGAAGATATGAAGTGAAACAGAATGCACGGAAAATACTTACGTAAGAGAAGAAAACTTATTAACTGTTGTAATTCTAATTTTGATCCTAAATAATTTTATGAAACTAGTTTCAATATTATATTTCAATTACAATTTTATATATACCGGGTGTTCGACGAACCGTGGGAAAAATTTTAATGGGAGATTCTAGAGACCAAAATAAGACGAAAATCAAGAATACTAATTTGTCGATGGAGGCTTCGTTAAAAAGTTATTAACGTTTAAAGTTAAAGTATGCAGCGTGCACGGTTCCCGTCTCACAGGCGGAATTTGAAACGTTAATAACTTTTTAACGAAGCCTCCATCAAGAAATTGGTATTCTTGATTTTCGTCTTATTTTGGCCTCTAGAATCCCCCTGTATAGTTTCTTTTACTTAATAATAATTTTTTGATTTACTTGTATATTATAAAACGTTCAACGTAACTTTTATTGTAACTGATGGTATCTATTTGTACTTCTTTATCTTTCAAATTATAAAATTATGTAACACTCCTCCCTGAGATATATCCTTTTTTTTTTTAATATATTTCACGATACATTATTTTTTCAAGAATAAGAATGAACGATACGCTTCGATCAATATCGTTGTTTTCTATTTGTTACAAGAACGCGTTTACTATAGTACATTTGAATAGAATTGTGATTGCCCCGCACTTGTACGGTGAAATCGTAGTTACAGGAAACCTTTTATGTTTCAGGACTAAGTGCTTGCGAAAGGAAGTCTTTTATATTCTTAAGGAAGGAGCTGCCAGTCCGGCTGGCCAATATTATGAAGGAGATCCACCTGCTACCGGACAACTTACTGAGAATGCCTAGTGTGGGTATAGTTAATAATTTATACGCCACTTCGTTCGAGGATATCGTGCTCTTCGAGAAGGTTGAAGTCAACGAGACCACTTTAGACAAGTGAGTCTTCAACGTTAGAAACAGTCTCTTGAACGATTCACGTTAGAATTCGCTCGTTGAAAACAGTTCGTGCAAACAAACCATTTCCATTCACCCTAGGAAGATCGAATCGCAACAGTAACGGTAACAGAGTTAGATTTTCATTTGATCGAACAGTCACGTTTTTGTTTTGTAGCTAAAATTTTAATTTCTCATTTCTACCAGGAACGTACGAACAGTTGTTCGTCGTTCGTTTATTATTCGAGGTTATGTCCATCTCAGAGCCCATGTCGCGTTAAAGATTAAGGGGAGAGGGTCTCATCAAACACATTGTATATGTATAACTTTCATAATTACTTTTCCAATCGGAGGGGATTAACAACGATCCTTCCTGTTCTTTCCCGCAGATTCTGCCAAGCGTTGGTCAAAATCCGGAACAGACACAAGGATATCGTGGAAACGATGGCGCAAGGGGTCCTGGAACTGAAGGAATCTCACGACGTGGACTCTCAAACGGAGAACAACATTCAGTATTTCTTGGACAGGTTCCTCATGTCGCGAATTTCCATTCGAATGCTGATCAATCAACACAGTAAGTTCGATTTCAATGTGCAACCTCTATGTACAGTAATGATTCTTAAACCTGACCCATACATGATTCGTAAGTTGAACGTTTCCATTCATTTTCTTCGACTGTAGTTTATTCTTTCTCGTTCTCACTTACTGTCCTTTTTGGTTGTCGACTACGGCTGTTGGCGGGAGATAAAGGCGATTCCGGAGGCAGTGATGGACAATCGCGGGAACTTTGGACATGCGCACTAGAATTTTCCCTCGTAGGGTTCCTCTTTGCGCATGCGTTAGCTTTCTGCCATAGATGTATCTTTAGCGCGAAAAGAGGGGCATTCTACTTCAAATGCTCGACAATCACAGAAAAATTAACTTATCGAAGATCCCCTACATATTTCTCTAGCTATACTCGTGTAGATTACGAGGAAATTTTTTGTTTTAGTCTCTTTCTCTGTAACTTCCTTAAATTTTGTTCCTTAGTGGGATCCAACGGTACCCTGAATTCTAGTTAAGTGTATACGGCAGTGATCATGCGTTTCAATGCGCATGTCCAAAATTCCCACGATTGTCCATCACTGCTACGAGGCTCGACGATGTCTGCTGTGCATAAACATCAGCTGTTGTCGAAACTCACCCCCCCGCTATATGAAAAATGAATGCGCCACGAATAAGAATCATTATTGTGTTACGGATCACTGACAATGCAGATTCGTCTTTGTAGATCTGCATCGTATTCCAAGGAACGTTCTTTGTTACAGCCCTGCTGTTTGGCAGCGAACTAAACGAGCACAGCAGACACGTGGGATCCATAGACCCATCGTGTGACGTTGTCAGCGTCGTGAAGGACGCTTACGAGAAAGCAAGGTTGTTGTGCGATCAATATTATTTGGCTAGCCCGGAACTGATAGTCAAACAGCATAACGGCAAGTTTGAAAAATGTTGATTGTACTATATGTATCGCTAGTAAGTAGTATAACATCAACAATATTCTGCAGTTGGTATAGGGAAACATTGTCACGGTGTACCATTTTAATTCCACGATTAGATAGGAAAATATCCACCTGTCGCTTAAAAGTTTAAAGCACCTTTCATCACAATTGAAAATGGCTGCTGAACTCAGGGACGTGCAATTGTCAATTAAATATGTAGATAGGTATCCGTAATAAAAGCTTCATTATTACAAAAAAAGAAGGGTGCTCCACACTTTTGAGTGGCAGTGTAAACGGGAAAGTTTGAACGTGGATTTCTTTAAATTCGACTCGTAATAAAATATAATAACAACGTACACCGTTGAGAATAAAGATTATCGCGAGGTCTGAATCTTTTTTTTGGAAGATGAAATAGCCTGTTCTTGACACGACGATAACTTTTTGCGTCTCAGTGTACCGTTTAAAAAATTACAAAAACGATATAAAAAAAAAAAAGAAAAACTGTTTATCTCATCGTTGTCTGTCTCTTTCGTTTCAGAGCTCGAACGATGTAGCCACATTAGGATAGTTTACGTGCCGAGCCATTTGTTCCACATGTTGTTCGAACTGTTCAAGAACAGTATGCGAGCGGTTATGGAACACCATGGCACAGAGTCGGACTATCCGCCAATAGAGGTCATCGTGTCACGCGGTAAAGAAGACATCTGCGTGAAGGTAATTGCGCAACCGGTCGATAACAATGTCCAGAACTCTAAACATTCTAAGAAACAAAGATTATTAAAGTTCCAAGAAAATCGATTATTTCGTGGCTCTCTTACGAGCAGTTACTTGATACACGAGTTATGAATAACCACGACAATATCGATTATTGTTTGTCCCCGTAGTAATTGAATCCAAACTTTCGTCAGCATTGATATCCAATATCAACGCATCGGATATCTTACACCCAGCTGCGCTTGTAAGCTACTTACGTCACCCACAAGGTTGTCCAAACGCAATAACGTGGCTATTGAAAGATACTGATGTAGACTCCTACCATTCCCTCTAATTGCGATCCTTATTTTTGTAACATTTTCCAAGATTTTGATGGATTATTATTCGGCGATAATTAGCGAACCGTTGATAGTAATCCGCAAATCCTTTTATTAAGATAATTCTTGCAGATGACCGACCGAGGTGGTGGCATTCCGCGTTCCCAAATGGACCAGTTGTTTAAATACATGTACAGTACAGCGCCTCGGCCAAGCATAAGCGACGCCCACAACGTTCCACTAGCTGGATACGGTTACGGTCTTCCAGTGTCTCGATTGTACGCCAGATACTTCCACGGTGACCTCGTTCTTCAAAGCTGCGACGGTTATGGCACGGACGCCATTGTGTATCTCAAGGCAAGTATAGTACTATTTTCATTCGTCAATTTTAAATTGCTTTTATCGAATGCAAGAAATTATTTAAATGCTTGCAAGACACTTCCGCTAGTAATATACAGGGTGAGTCACCTGACATTTGCATCTCGAATATCTTTGTTATTTTTGAAGATACGTCAAATGTCTTGTTACGAGCGCGATGCGATCCTGGATTCCTGGTAGTCGCCTCACTGCGAGAGAAGTAGGAGGGATACACGTATTCCCACGTATGCATTGATCTCTCGCTCGCTATTCGTCGCGACAGTTACACACACGTGTGGACTGACTGAGAGCAAGGGAGAGAGATAGATAAATGGGCGTCTGACTCCCCTTGTCCCTGTGCTTCAAGTGAAGCGATTGTACCATTCAATTTTGCCCTCAAGACATTTGACGTATCTTCAAAAACAATAAAGATATTTGAGATGCAAATGTTAGGTGACTCAGCCTGTATACTATACATCACCAAACAAATTTACATATTCTCTCGACCAGAAAAGTGGAGGTTCAACCACACAAATAGAATGTTTCAAATGATGCTAAACAAGTGTATTCCTATAGTTGTTAACAATTGTAAGCTCGTCCCTCTTATTGCATTCTTAAATCTTTGTCAAGCAAGTTTTTAAACGATCCTTCAGGCTCTGTCGAACGAGGCCAACGAGCTGTTGCCAATCTTCAACAAGACTTCGTCCAAGTTCTATCGCACCCAAGTGTCCACTACTGATTGGAGCAGCCATTGCGGGGGTGGAATGGCGACGAGGCAGTTGCGCATGAGCAACGAGCAGAGGCACAAGCTTCCGCGAGGAATCGAGGCTAGGAATTGCTAGTGATATCTGATCTCTACCGGCCAAAGAATAGGGATGTAAGTACACACGTAGCTCCTGCAGCTTGTTGCTTCTAGAAATTCGAAATTGCATTCTGAATCGAGTCGTTTAAAGGCGGAGCAAAAAACCGGTAGCCCGTTGAATCTTCAAACGTTTCACTTCTTTCTGTTCAAACTAATTTTTATGCCAGAAATACATTTCGGAGTAACGTGTCAAGTTTTGCTAAAATTTAATTTGAGATCTGATGTTGGTGATCTTCAGTGCCTAGAAATTTTGGCAAAATTCGAGATGTTATTTCAGAGTGTTGGCAATGGTTTTTTAACTAAATCTAGTGATAATCGACGATCGACGAAACGAACGAATCGCATATTGCTAATCCAGACAACTGCTTGTGGCTCTATCTAGGTGGTTCGGAAAGAGTCTCGGGCGACTATTGGGTCGCAAAGCCTAACGAAATAGGAGCCGATCAGCGATCGGGACCTCCGTAATCGAGTTCGCATTTTTCTCACGAGAGAATCGTAGACGACTGGTCGCGATGGCGGTACAACTCTACATATCACATGGTAATCGGTAATCCGAAATTTAACCTAACTTTGGGTCGCCCTGTATTCTTCGTTGCTCTGTTCGTCGCCGCTATTGTCGACGCAACAGCGAAAGTCTTGAAACGTCGGTGCATCCAGGACATGTTATGGTGCCCCAGAAAATATTACGCATTTCAGAACTTCAGATTTATCGACTATTACAAAACGTTTTATCAGAAATTACGAATGGGTCATTTTGAGCGGGTTTGGTAATTCTAGTGTTAAATCGGCGTTTCAGTTGATCGATCGTAAAAGGCATTTCCTTCGCGTTCGAAGGTTTTAGCGAGAATTGTTTGTAGAACGAATTGCACACGAAATGCGAACTGTGATTTAACGCGCGAATTTAGTTGACTAGCTAGGGAAATTGTAACGATGTAAAGAGACGACAATTTATGGATTACTTACGCGCGAGAGCTACAGAAACGACGAAGCAAGATCCAAGGACAAGATTGGCCGAGCAGTGAACAATATCAATTATTGGTAACACTTTTCGCCCGCTCCTTGGAGAACACTGTATATATGTACCGTGAACGGACAGACTCTCGAACGAGCACTCCCTCCACCTCCCTCTAACCCCCTACAGTTTGTAATGAAATTTTTATAAGACTAAACCGAACGAAAAAAACATTTCTACGCGATTAATTCTTTTACACACAGACACACACGTGAACAAACCGATATACTTTCGTACGAATTCATTTGTATTCTGAGGCACTTACGGTGCAGTTGGCAGGAGAACAGCGTCGTGAATCGACGTTACAAAGTCTGAAAGCGGAGGTGACGTTGCTGTTTTCTCCGCGTGTTTGCAACCGGGAATAGAAACTATGCAAAACTCGCGTACCTGCCTTGGAACGATGAGTTATTTTTTTAAGTCTCTAACCTTAAGTAGGATATCGAGGAAGAAAAGGGAATAATAAGCGCCATCTGCGCGAAGATTCAGTTAGTTCGGACACGAGCACGATTACCAATGGAAAAGACGAGAAGAAGAATAAATTGGAATGGCTGGTCTCTGTACGGCGATTTGGGCAAATCTGATTCGCGAATAACTAATACAAATTTTCGATCGATTCGTAAGCTACACCTCTGTGCTATTTGTTCGTAAACTCGTTTGTAAATTAAATGTATTAAGGAATCGTTTGAAGCCAATATTCAAGTCAGCAAAGTCGCGAGCAAATGTTGAGGTTAGGAGGGAAACTGATATTTGTATTCGTTGTTCGAGAATAATATTTGTTCGATCCTGACGCCATGTTGGAGACGGTTCTGTACAAAATTCGTTTCAACAATTTCTGTACGTTCCCCCGTGTATATAATCTTAGATATTTAGAATAATCGGAGCACTATCTGTATAGGCGATAATTTCTAGCTGTAATTACAGACTGTAGAGATATTCGTGTGCATAGCACCAGCGAACTCTTATAAGATAATTGTTAATAAATATATTACACGATAACTACGACTGTCTACTTATTCGACATCCACAACCATCTCTATTAATATTTATAGGAATTTTATTTAAATAACTAAATGGTAGGTTGGGCTTCTGTAAATTAAAAACAGTTCAATCTACTTTTTGGTCTATCTAACCAAACTACACTTCTGGATAAAAAGATAGCACATCTTATAATTTTTCTTGTTTGGTATTATAAACTAACAAAAATGATTATTTTAATACGTTCTATGGCCATACTTATACAGGGTGTTTGGCTAACCCTGGGAGAAATTTTAATGGGAGATTCTAGAAGCCAAAATAAGACGAAAATCAAGGATACTAATTTGTTGATCGAGGCTTTGTTAAAAAGTTATTAACGTTTAAAGTTCCGCCCCTACTGAATTTTTTTCTCGAAAATGCGCAAGATTTTGGGAGTATGTCTATTGACCAAAAATGCTTGTAATTGACCCGTGGAACTAAAAATAATTTTTTTAGAACGATTTGAAATGTCTTAATTTTGTCAAAAAATTTGTCTAATTACTGAATTTTTTTCTCGAAACTGGTTAGGATTTCGAGGGTATGTCTATTCACCAAAAATGATTGTAATTGACCCGTGGAACTAAAAATAATTTTTTTAGAACGATTTGAAATGTCTTAATTTTGTCAAAAAATTTGTCTAATTACTGAATTTTTTTCTCGAAACTGGTTAGGATTTCGAGGGTATGTCTATTCACCAAAAATGATTGTAATTGACCCGTGCAACTAAAAATAATTTTTTTAGAACGTTTTGAAATGTCTTAATTTTGTCAAAAAATTTGTCTAATTACTGAATTTTTTTCTCGAAACTGGTTAGGATTTCGAGGATATGTCTATTCACCAAAAATGATTGAAATTGACCCCCGCAACCGAAAATAATTTTTTCAGAATGATGTGAAATTTTTTAATTTTCAGTGAAACATGTCAGTATATGGTCAGACATATCTTCAGTGATGATTTTTTTTCTCGAAAATGGTTAGGATTTCGGGGGTATCTCTATGGACCAAAAATGATTGTAATTGACCCCTGCAATCGAAAATAATTTTTTTAGAACAAACGTCTGTCTGACTACAGACATTAAAAAATAGAAAATAATGGAAATTGCTACACTTCCATCATCAGATTTCAAAATTCAAAAGGACCCAATTAGCTCTATCATTTTGTAATTTTAAGCGTCTAAATTTCAAGATACTCTTATTTATAAGAATGCTTTGTCTAGTTAAATAAGGATACATCTGTAGTTCGTAAGGATCAATCTGGATTTCATGCAAAAATCAGGTCGACGGGATTCGATGGAACACGTAAAAAAAATTCACACGAAGTAAATCGTACACACGCTTGGCGTTTGTAATGCATTGCTGTACTTTTATTACGTTTGGCCATGCGCACCATAAGTGAACCGCTCGACGACAAATGTTTCCACTCCTCTTTCTCACCGCACGCTTCGCTCACCGAATAATAAAAAGTACGTCCTAGCAATAACAATAATTTTCGTTTATAAAATAACGCTACCCTATATACATACCTGGCGTTCGTTTCAATGTGCTCAGGTGACTCAACAGAACGTTCTAATAAACTAGCACTGACAAGTGAAACTCGAATTGGCGCGTCGATCGGCCGGCGAACGGGAGAACTCGTCGTCGTGAATCCTCGTGGGCGGACCGATCGGCCGGCGATTTACAAATCAGGTTGCGGCCGATTCGTTGACACGGAATTAAAATGTTCGAAAGCAGTAGCGGCGCGACGATGAAAAAAATTAAAAATAAAAAAAGAACCAAAGACTCGTCGTCGGATCGTACGACGGTTTCGATTCGCTAAAATTTGTCCAATCGACGAAAGTAGTCCGAGGATCGCGAACAACGAACCCGGGGGAGCAGTTAAAAAATAGAAACCAATCAGTTCAAGGAATAAAAAATCGTTTAAAAGAAATCGAAACGTTCGTTTTTGTCCCTCGAGCCTTCGTCAAAAAGCCCTTTCCCTTCCGTTCTAAAATTTTTTTTGGCACCGGGCGTTCCGACTTCCGGTTGATCGCGGACATTGTATAACCTTAAAAGTTTATCACAATAATAATAATAATAAAGTTCTTATAGCACGTCGTACGATTCATGGGTACAAGTTGATCGTTCGTAGAATTCCAAAAATACACAATATCGCTCGCCTACTCGAGTTTGCCAAAAAAGTACGCTGATTCAATTGCACAATGTGTCCGCCTCGTTCGATCGTTTTTATCTCTTTGTTTTTTAATCGTCGTATGAAAATTAGGTTGCACGCGTCGCGGGAGTTTTCTCAGCGTTCAGAACCGAGAGAATCTGCTAACATCGCTGGTCGACGAAAGGTATACAAAGCTCTCCGGGCAAAACGTACGCTAACACTCAACAATAGATACGAACAGACGGAAATAAATGTCAACGAAAGAAGACACGTCGTCCAGGTGTCTGAACGTAAGCGAGATTCACGCATTTAAAGACAATATACTTTTTCGAACGTACCCCGCTTTTGCTTCCTGTTTCTGGTCGAATGGGACAATCGCCACGATCGGGCGAGAAAAGACTATTGCTAAAATTCCCTTAAGTTGTTATTCAACGGTTTACCTATGCTATAATGTATATACAGCATGGCAGTGATTACACACTCTACATTTCCTTGCCGTACAATACACATACTACAAAAAAAGAAAGAATTTTTTTTTCTTTTTCCGCAAACGTCGAAGATGCTTTTTAATTTCGATCGCTTCGCGAACGCTCGCACGACTGTCGTCTCTCCGAACTCGTGGTGCTTGCTCGCGCGCCATCTCCCGGCTGACGAAACAACTATCGACGCTGGTCGGCCTCCGCTTTACCGGCAACTCTTTGTCGTGCCTCGTTAACGTTTCCTCGTCGTTATCTCGTTAGAAAGACTATCTTTTGACAGATCACAAATCGCGCCTTTAACGTCTACACGTCTCCGTCAACGTCTCGGACAATCGACACTTCATCCTTCAATCCTTATTCGCTTCTCTGGATTTTTAACGAGACTCGCGCGAATACGAGCGGAAAAGAGTTTTTCATTTTTGTTCTCCGGCCACGACCAATGTTTACGCGATACCCGTAGAAAAATAAAGGAAACGAACCGTTCGTTCGATACGGAGACAATAAATGAGCGCCCTCGTGTGTCCTGCGAAAGGTGTGTGTATAATTTTTTTTTTTTCTTTTTTTTTTACGGTTAGTAATTACGCTCGGTTACATTCTTCGTACGACATTAGTACAATTATTAATTAATTAAAACCTAGGACAATATTCGCTACTCAAATAGATACTTTATAATAATTACTCTTTATAGTCTATCAAAATATTCATCACAGTGCTACGGACACAAAATTGTGTTCTGTTTATACGTGTAAATAATGATTTTTTTTTCTTCTTTTTTTTCTCTCTCTTTTTTTCTCTCGTTTGTTTCATATGCATTCTTCGTGGAGGAAAAGTCGCGTAATCCAGCCACTCGTTGATCGCAAACCTTGCGTCCCGCCCTTCGTTCGCTCGTTGCGCGCGTATTTTTTTTTTTTAATAAAATAAACGACGTTCTTTGATCGTCTTTCGCTTTTTTTTCTTCTGAAAATATCAACAAATCGATAAATCGGTATCTATTTAAATTACACTTTTAAACGATTCTTCTAGATCACATTTTTTCTCTTTTTTTTTTTTTTCTTTTGTTTTCTTCCGTTTTTGTTTTGTACAATAGCTCGAGGATGACGTTCAATGTCAACGAGAGACCCGATTCTTGACGTTTTCTATGCTCGTGTATCGTTTTCTTCCTTCTCTGTGATTTTTCTCCAGTTTTATTTTTTCTTCTCCTTATCATTTTGTAAACGTAGAGTGCTACACACACACACACGACATCATCATCCCGTTTAAAAAATTTCTTATTTTTCCACTTTACACGTGACTTATATTTACAACAATGGATCCAGAGGGGGATCACCCCCCTGGCTCGCGAATAAATCTGTCGGCCCTGAGCGGCGGGAAACAATCCAAAAGATTTGAAAGACGAGAAATCGCGGACCGGTACCCGCGAAACGATATCTTATGCATTTCGATGTCGCTCCCCGGACAAAACGCAAATTTATTTTAACGAAACGACTCGCGACAACTGCTCGAGCGTATTATAAATAATATTACCGCAAAAACAAAACAAAAAGAACGAATAAATGGAAGCTGATGGGTGAGACAAAGCGGCTCGTGTTTTGGATCTCAATGCCCCCCTCGACGTACACCTTTCTCTTCTTAAATACAACCCTTGGCAAATCGTTTTCGATCCTGTACACTGATGCAAAGTTTACAAAAAAATATTCGTATTTTAGAGACGATAATAGAACATTGGTGCTAAATAAAGCAAATTGAGCAGAAAATAATGGGAATTTTTCTTGGAAAGATGGAACCCGAAGAATAGAATCTTAGATGGGGAATTTCTGATAAGTAGAAATCTTGGGGGGAAAAATAATAAATATTTTAAAATAGAAACTTGAAGAACGTTATTGCAATTACTGACACGTGCTTCGAATCAGAATCGAATAAAAAATGTTCTTTTATTTATTTACAAGGTAAGACATTGTATCTGTATCTATTTTATATTTTAATTAAAAAGAAATAAAGGAAGAACATTACTCATATTTCAGGCACTTCCTCCAAGCCAATCAAAAAACATTTCGAACAAAAGTTACACCGCAATTACTTAACAATAAATTGCAACGGTAGAAATTAGCAAAACATTTTTTATGCAACAAAAAATCAAGATCAATTCGATTTTTTTAAACCCAAAATGTATAATTTTTGTGCACCACGCGATGCATCTTTGTATTTTCTCTAAAAAAGTGTAAGAGGTCTTAAGTCGAAAACTGACCAGTTTGGAAGCTATGATTTTGTTCTGAATTCTCATTTACGCGACACACTGTGCGTCGACCACGTTCCTCCGCGTCTCAATTACGAGTAACAGCGTTCCCTCGCCCCCCAAACTACGAATATTTCCCGTAAACTTATCCATCAGCGTACACGATCGAAAATCAAACTCGAACGTCCATTCCCAAAATCTATCCCGCGAAGAACAATATCGCTGCTTCAAAAAAATCGTTCCCAAAATTCCATTTCTTACGAACCCCGTGTGCCTCCTCCTTTCGGGAACAAAGGTCTCCCCGACGTTCTCCACAACCATTTTTGGATAAAGGCGAGTGTGCCCTCGCGAAGCCCGAAAAAGACCCTTCGTCGATCGATCCTCCCCGATTCGTCCAATTCTGCGTCCGCTCTTCGCTCGACTGTTGGCTGGTGCTGCTTCTCATCGAAATGGTAGTCGGAGGACTCCCCGTCAAATAATCGCGATCCACCATCATCAAGAGGCGTTTCTCTTCGTTCCCCCTCCTCCGCGCGAGAAAAAGAAACGAACGATTTATACAATCTTTCTCTTTTTTTTTTTTTTTCCCCGAGAAATCTGCGCCAAATACCGATCTCGATCAAACCTCTGCGTGAAGGGGACTAGGCGAGCGGAGCGATTGGCAGCAACCCCACGGAAACAGCCACGCGGCTCAGCACCTTGGCGAAAATTTCGGATTGGTGGGACCGTGGATGTAGCTCCTGAGTTCCTTTGGCGGCTCCGAGCCGAAATCGGACGCCGTGTCGACGTCCGACTTCCGGCAAATGATCATACGGATGTCCGTGTGCAAGTAAATACGGCCCGACTTGCCGGACATAAATCTGAAACGGAGACGTCGGGCTTTAATAACAAAAAACGCGCCATCCACTTCGTACGGTGTCTGGAGCGATCAGCGGCGTCGACAGGATCGGTGGAAATTAATCAAGCACGGGTGGGGACGTGTTAGTTGCACGACTGAACAGCGAAAATGGACGACGAGCAAAGCGTAAAGGTGCAAACACTGGCGCAACAAGGAGGAACAACACGGTTACGTTCCGCCATATTGGCTGGGCGAACAGTTTCTCGCGATTATTTTCAAATTCAATGAAAATACAGGGTGGTCCACTATTGGTGGTGCACAAGCGGAGAGGAGGTGATTCTATGTGAAAAAACAAATTGAAAATGAAGAATAAAATTATTTTATTTGGGGTTTCATTGTCCAGAAAATCGAGCTTTTTTCAGGAAATACAGGCTTTTATTATGGTTTTTTGTATTTCTGTATACTCATGTTGACATGATTTCCTGAGCACGTATCGTAATTTTATTCGTTAGTATGTTATTCAATTTTGACTAATCATGGACCCCATATTTAACACTCCTTGATTTCTATCTATGGGGTCATGTTATAACAAACGAGTATAAGAAGACTATTTTATGTACTCCTCAATTACAAGCGAGAATCATTTGGTATTTGAAGAATTAAAGATACAGAATCCATTAGTTTATACAAATCTAATTTTGTTACTGTGAGCAATTTTTAACAATTTTTGTATGTATCAAGTTAGTTTAATAAGTAAATTACATGCCTCATTTTCATTTAAATCTACTTCAAATCCATAATCAAAGGTAACACAGTACATCATGTTAATACTAACAATATTGGTGCTATTTGTATCGAGATCAATTCAGAATTGATTTTCTTGTCAACGAAACCTCAAATGGAAAAAATTTTATTCTTTATTTTTTATCTGTTTTTTCATCTAGAATCATCCTCTTCCTGCTTGTACCACCCATGTTGAGACACCCTGTATATACCTATATATTAACCCCTTCAAACTCATATTTTTGGGGTTAACCAACAATGATCAGTTTTCTTTATTGGATTTGTTTCTAAAAATAATCTAACGTATAATATTATCATCCCTTAAACCGTTGGATCAAACAAATACTGTTTTTCAAATTAGTCAGACTCGGACATGAACGTTAAGGGGTTAAAAAAAGCATCTCTTTTTTTCAAGATCAACTGAAATTTTAACGAGAAACCTTTCCACCCAGTAAATACCGCGAAACGGACGACGAACAAAGCGTAAAGGTGCAAACACTATCGCAAAAAGGAGGATCAACATTGTCCAACGGGTAACTTTGGTCCGCCATATTGGCTGGGCGAAGAGTTTCTCGCCCCAACGATTATTTTCCCAATCAATGAAAATATATTTAAAAAAACAACATCCATTTCCTTCGAGATAAACTTAAATTTGAACGAGAAATCTTTTCACCCAGTAAATACCACAAAATGGAGGAAAGGTTCTAATTCGTTGGACAATATAACAATCGTGGCTTCCAAGCGCGAATGCCCGCCATTATAGACCCCGATCTTCGATATTTATAATCTAGATGGCACCTTTCGTTGTTTCCCCGTTTCAAAATGGAGGATTTCGAAGCCCACGGACGCTTGCGCTAGAAAGCTAGGATCGTTGGTGGGAACACTGGTCGTGAAAGCTTTAAAATTTTAATCGACGCGAGGGAAAAGGTCTTTCCCTCTTGGCGCGGATAATTAAAATTTCAAAGTTCGCGGAACGGACAAATGCTCGACGTTTCTAGAGGAAACAGAGAATGTACGCACCTAAGATGAACGAGGTAGCGTAGCGTTTTGTCCCGCAGTGTTCTCTGACGTAAAAAAGTATGAGATCGTGGCGGCATATCAGAAAGATCGTATAGTACTACGAACATCTTAACGACTGTACCCAAAGGATTGAGAAGCGTTACTTGAATAGTACCGCTTCTTGGTACTTGGTAGCCCTTTTTGCCCAAATTAATATGTGCCTACGCAAAAGTAACAGGATTCGTTCAGATCAATGTCCCGATTATAGTCCGGACCAGCGGTTTTCAACCCAACATAGACAAACATAGCCCTCTAACAAACGAAACAATGGCGGTCATAGTCTTATTAACGATCTATTAAGCGTACGCGACAATTTTAGTCATCTTTCATCGATCGTTGGTTTATTTTTTATTGGAAAGTACTGTCTTTTCAACAATTCTGCATCGATCGGAATAAATGACACTACGAAGACGCTAAGTCGATTAAGTGTGCCGCATGTGGGACACTTCCCAACCCGAGTTAAAGATAGTTCTGCTAAATGTTAAGTGCAGTATGTTCCCATTGTTGTGCAGGAAAATTACCTTCCGGCTTCCTCGTTCGGTAAATGGACGATTTTGCAAAATAACACACCCTTAATATCCCATTAGATGCATAAAAGTCGTTTATGATTGCTTCGCGTGATCCGGTTTTAATCCACTTTCTGTCCTAGGTAAGAATTCTTCGTTGTCTGGCAAATAACGAGATGCACATATTGATTTCGCTTAAATTCTTGAAGATTCCTAATAATGTCAACGTTAGTTTTCACGAACGAGCTAAAAATTGTTGCATACGCCTAATATATTCACGATCCATTAGACTTACGTTTAAGAAAGAAGCTCAAGTGGGCCAAAAAGCTATTGGTGTACCGTTCAGAGATTACTTATTGACTAGGTACAACTGAACCGCCTAATTCTCACCAGAAAACTCCATTTTTAGCTTCTCAGAATTCATGCTACGTAGCAGTAGGATCTCCATATTAGGGAGAAATACATTCTATTCGTGGTTAATATCCTGAACTAACAGCTACGCCAATATTGTTCATTATGGTTCTATCCTGCTCTGTTTCTGCGCGATGGAATTGCAGTTATGCTCGACACAGTCAATAATGACAATACGTGTGAGAACAGACGTCGCAGTTGCCTCCCACACCCGCCAACAGAGGGCTAAGCTCGATCTTTACATCTCTCACAAGTGCTCGACTGACCTATTCTCATATATACATTCCTTGTATTTATTTAACGTCTGAGTATCCCTAAGCATATAGCAAACTACACTGACACATATTCTTCCCCCTTTGCACATTACTTGATTCAATTATGCTTCATATAGTATAAGTAATTAGCCTTAAACTTGTCTCGTGAGTAGCATCAACAGTCAGACGAACATTTCCCAATATTATGATTACTAAATCATATTTCTAGCTAAAAACTGCTAGGGTTGCCTCACTAACTAGCCCACTAGCAGGCCCAGGACCCTATTCTCCTACTATCTTCCTCGTTTCTTCTTACAACAACGTGCCTAGCCAACAAGTCATCCCCGTGTGGTACATGCTACACTTTCTCGTTCGACTTTCTTCCATTTTCTAAACAAGGTACCCATCGACTATTAGGATTTCTAAACTGGTATCTCAGCTCGACCGCATTGAGCACCACGTTGTTGGTACAACGAACGAGGCGAACGTCTCCATATAAATAAATTGCCAGATACCTTCCGGCAAAGTGGTACTTGACCCGAATTCGCGATGGTTCCGCGAGGACAAAGGGGTTCAAAACCGCTGGTCGGGAACGAGATAATTAAACGCAACAATTCTTCAAAATCAGGTGAACAGAAAAACAGGATAAATTGCCAATTCGTTAACGGATAATTAATAGAAAAAATCAAAGAAACACGTGTAAAGACGATGGTCGGAGGATTGCATACGTACGAGATAGGGCGTGGAAACTTTGTCATTGTCACCGAGCGTGTAGAAGAACACAGTGACCGGAAGCTTTCGATGTTTCGGACAGAAGGAACCGCTCGCTCCGAGCTCGGCGGTGAAACCGTGAACAGTGGACACCGGTTCGAGTCTGCCGTTCAAGGCCGACTCCTCGAAGCTGCCCAGAAGAGCGTGGCTCTGAGGTCTGCTGCGAGACGTGGACCGTCTCTTCAGGGTCTCCTCGCCCTCGCCCTGGTTCTCGGTCTCCCTGTCGGTTTCCTCCAAAGACACCGCGCCAGGACTCGGCGGTGTGTTCAGCTCGAACAGCGCGCTGAAACAAGAAAAACCTCGGTTCGTCAGAGTCCCCTTCCACGAAGAACCACCTACCTCCATCTAATCAGCTTTCGACCATTCCGTCTCCGAACACGAACGGTACGATGATTCGATCAGGTTGCCGTGCAAGTTCTGTTCATTGCAGCCAAAACGAGGATAAATCTGTTAAACTGCTTTGTAACAGAGGTTATAAGAACCGTGACCAAATCACGATCGTGACTTGTTTGGGCCAGAATCTTCATCGCGAGTCAGGCTCGTTAAAGCACGAAGAAAGGGGTTAACAGTAGCGAACGTTAGGGGTTCCACCGATGACAGAACTTCAACAGCAACTCGATGTTAAGGTAAAGGACAAGAAACTGGTGGTACCTTCTCTTGGAGGAGACGGAGTTCAAGCTGCTATCGTAATCGAAGCAACAGCTGCCCCTTCTCAATGGCGCTGGACTGGAAGTCAACGGCAGGCCAGTCCTGCTGTGGAACACCATCGACGCCGCGTTTTCCAAGGACCGTCTGAATCTTTCTTGCTCGATCGCGGTCGGCACCATCTTGTCGAGGGTCTCGTCCTCCTCCGCGACCGTGCTGTCCTTTGCGTGGCCGTTGCTTCGTGGCTTGGCGACCGAGTAACCGTTGCTCTTCGCCGCGACACCGGTGGCAGGATCTTTGAGCAGTTTCGAGATCGCTTCTTCTTCCCCGGCATCCTGGCCAGCTGTGCCACCCTCTTTGTTTGTACTGTGCAGTCTGTTCGGCCACTTGGACGACTCCGGATTATCGTGTCCACAGCTGCCTTCCTTCTTGTAATTTGTACTATAGATTCTTGAGTTTTTGTGCGCGCCATTTGTACTAAGCTCCGACGGATCGGTGCACGCGTCGCGCTTCTCCGTTACCGCGGCGAAATTCGAGAAATCGATCCTCCTCTTCGCCTTGCTGACCCTCAGGTTCTTTGGATCGTGCAGGTTCGGCTGTACGTTGTTGTAAGAGAACGAACGTTGAACCGGCTGCTGGACCAGGTCTTGGGTACCGTCCTCCGTCGTCGAGCTCGCCTTCTTCTCTTGCTCCTTCTTGAACAGCTGCCGCAACCGGTTGAATCTCTTGTTCAACGCCATGTGCAATGATTTCTCGTCCTCCAATGGCACGGTGGTTCTCTGCTCCAGAGCCACTTTCTCGTAATCGTTCTCCGTTTCGCCGCTGGACGCCGGCAAGACGGACCTGGGTTTGGTCCCGCTCGAAACCTCCGGCAGGTTTCTTCGTTCTCTGCTGGTACGTAAGATTGCTCCCAGTAGTATGTCCGCTTTGTTCGAGACGTTCTGCAAGCAGTCCATCGGCTCATTCGCTCGTTTCTCGACGTTATTGCATTTCACAGCTTGCAGATCCTCGCTCAGCCCGCCGCCGTCGAGTTTCTCGCGTTTACGCGACGGATCGTAGATATTCTTATTGCCATAGATCTCGTTGATACTGGACTTGTCCAAGGCCTGTTGGTCGTTCTTCCTGCACAGCTTGTGCCCGAAACCCTCGCAGATCTTCGCATGGTTTACGATGTTGTTCGTCGAGCACTCGCTGTTGTCCAGGTTCACGTACTTCCTGTCCGTCCCGTCCTCCACCGATTTCTCCGACCTCTCCCGCCTTCTCGATGTCTTCACGCTGGTCCTCTTGCGTCCCGACGGTGTTCTGGCCCTGAGCACCGCCAGAACCTCGTCGAACTCCCGCTGACTCAGCTCCAGGTTGCAATTCTTGAATCTGACCTCGTTCCCGTGCTGATCCTGGCTCTTCAGATTCGTGGCCTTCACCTTGTTGTCCACGTAACCGTTGCTGGGCGCGACACCCAGTACTCTTCCTGGCACCTTGCTGAACCAATCCAAGAATCCACCTTCCTCCTTCGGCTTCTCCTTCTCCTCGGGGAACGACAGCTTCGACATCAATTGGCTCAGATCCTTCCCGGGTCTGCCTCTGTTGTTCGCCGCGGGGCTCAGGCCCGATTCCAGGGCCTCCTGACCCGGCAACGCCAGCTTGTTCGACGGTTTCGCGCAGCTCTGATGCACCATGCACGCGGAGTTCAACGACTCCTGCTTCAACCGATTATTCGTCGACGGGCCTGGATTTGACTCGTGGAAAGGACTGGGTTGCTTGAACGGGTTTACCGCGAGACTCGAATCCTTGGACACGGCCGGCTTGCAGATTCTCTCCGGGTCGTTCAAGTACCCGTCCTTGTTCCCGCGTAGGCTCTGGAACGCGCACTTCCCGTTCGCGGCGCTGTTGTTCCACGACTCGACGAACGACCACGGCAACGAGGAGTTGAACGGTATCAGGTTCTCGAACAGACCGTTCTTCTCCGCGGACTTGCCCTCCGGTTCCTTGATCTTCTTGCTACCCCCCTGCGAGTCCTTCTCCAGATTGCACTGCTTCTCCTTCACGCCTGCGGCCGCCAGCTTCGTCTGCGACGGCTCCGGGTCCTCGATCATCCGCTTGTAACGCTTCTCCACGTTCCCCTCGCGCTCCTCGATGCTCAGCTGCGACTTGAAGCAACGCTCCAGGTTGTCGGAGTTCAGATTGTTGCGGTTCCTGATCCCGTTCTCCTCCAGCTTGAACGACTGGCTCTGCACAGGCTTCGCGGTCCGGTTGTTCGAAATCTCGGCAGATATCGAGCACTTCGGGTAGCTGGAGCTCTGGCTGATCTTCGACTCCTGCGTGGCTGCCTCCTGCACGGACGGCAGAGGCATCGGTTGGATGGTCACGCAGGGCGTAGCGTCAGAGGGTCCGCAAGGAAGCGACCTGCGTCGTTTCCTCTCGCCGTTCGGTCGCAGGATCGACGGCGACGGCGGCGAGACGTCCTCCTCCTCGCAGCGACAGTGATGCTTACCGGGCTTGTTGCACGGCGTCTGCAGCCGGTCGTCCACCAAAGCTGTCACGCAAAAGCAGATTCGTTCGATCAGTTCGCCTCGGGTCGGGTTTATTTGCACGATTCACGATATCAAACGACGATAACGCGATCCGCTGGGAACGGCGGGGATAAAAGGCTAAAGGGAAAAGGTGTACGCGGGAATAAGAGGGGTCGGGGCAGAAATCGATTCCGAAGGTGATACTCGAGCGCCGAAATATCGTGTTCGTCGTCTGTAATTTCCTTCATTACCAGGCAAAACCAGAGCCTCGGGGTTCTGCGAAGCGCTGGGCACCGGTATAGCCTTGGTGGGTGTCAAAGCCCTCGCGACACCCTCCTCGTCCTTCTCTTTGATCGGGTGCAGCGGGCAGGTGAGAATCGGCATCTCTTCCATCCTCGGCAGTGCCCACACGGTGACCTAAAATTTACACGAGAAATCCTCTTCAGCTCCATTAAATGCAGTCACGGCACTCGAACGAGATCGGTGGTAGCCGATGTGACTCATCTGCCGGTTAAAAGTAGGCGTTCGTTAGTGTCCTCGGCCACCAGAATAGAACTGTGGAAGGTACACCGAATACGTGGACGAGAGAACCACCGTGCGGATCGCACGGACGGCCCGTGAGGAACATTGACCTCGGCTTTTACCGCGAGTCGAACACGTTCACCGCGGCCAAAGAATCGCTGAATCGATTAAGAAGAATATCCGCCTGCATCGATTCACGGAATCGTAACTGTAATCGAACCCCGATCCTGCTGAAGAGATCATCAAACGACTTTCGGTCAAATCGCGGCCCTTGACACCATTTTTAACGAGAATTTGCCGTGATAACAACGAGACATCCGTCGCCATCTTGGAAACTATACAAGTCACTCCAGACGATTGTTTTTAGGCCGTAGATCCGTTATTGATGCTTTTACGAAAAAATGCCAAGGGAGAAAGATGAATGGCTCGAGGAGCACTACATCTGTGTGTCTTTAGATATTTTTTTAAGCGCAACAATTAACAATTGAGACGAAATCAAATATTGTCTAAAGATCTAAATTACTTTTCAATTTTTCTGAGTCTGTTTTCAAACGAGTTTTTTATATTTCTGATTTAATCTCCGTTGTTTGCACGATGCTTTCTGCTCGGAGATTTTTCGTTCCCGGCCAAGGCCAACGATAATGTGCAGTAGCGCGAGCGAGCGGATCGAAATAATGACAGAGACTCGTTTCCCCTACCTTTATCGAATTTCCATCGCCGTTGCCAGCCAGAGGGAAGGTGTGCTCCACGGGTGTTTCCCGGAACTTCATCAGATTTTCCTCGTTGTACGGCACCACCCTGGTCGCGATGTAGCTTGGTTCGGCGCCGTTGCTTCGGGACCACCAAGCAGCGACCTGGCTGAAGTGAAGCCGTGAACGAACCGCCTGGTACAGGCCGTAGAAGTTCATCGTCTCCGGACTCCTGCGGGATTTGGCGTTCGTTCGACGTCGTTGTTAAAAGGCAGAGGAACGTTTCTCGCGTCTCGTCGCGAGAACCGGACAAATATTTGCTCGAGGCATCTCGCTACGAAACGAGCTATCGCGGCTTCGATACGGTATCGCGAGAAACAACAATCATCGCGTTCCTCTTTGAGAGACACGCGATCCCACGAGAGATGCTGATAACACTCACTTGCTGGGAACGGCGCAGACACACCAGTACTCCAGCAGCATCTCCGACGCGTGTTGCCATGGCGAGATTGATAAGGACGGGACGGTGCAGATCGGGTTCTTGGTCGCAGCTTTGGCCAAACCGCACGGACAGTCGCTGCACAACACCACCTCGATGCACAGGAACGATCCGACCGCGGTACGGTCCGCGATCTCTTGAACGAGCACGAGATATCGATCGCACTGGACAAATCGCGTCAAAGAAAAATACCTTTAATCCACCGTTTCTGACGATGTTTTCCATCATTTTTTACGTTTAGGTAAATTAGGGTGGTCCTTGATTGTGAGAATAATTTTTTTTTAATGATTTGAAATTCTTTTTTTTTGTTGAAAAATTTCAACTTTCTCGAATTTTTTTCTAGAAAATGGGTAGGATTTCGGGGGTATGTCTGTTCACCAAAAATAGTTGTAATTGACCCTCGTAACTGAAAATCATTTTTCCAGAATGATTCGAAATTTTGAATTTTATCGAAAAATTTCACTCTTCCTCGAATTTTTTTCTCGGAAGTGGGTAGGATTTCGGAGGTATGTCTGTTGACAAAAAATGCTTGTAATTGACCCCTGTAACTAAATATAATTTTTCCAGAACGATTTGAAATTTTTTAATTTTGTCGAAAAGTTTCACATCTTCTCGAATTTTTTTCTCGAAAGTGAGTAGGATTTTTAGGGTATGTGTAATGAACAAAAATGATTGTAATAGACTCCTGCAAGCGACAATAATTTTTTTAGTACGATTTGACAAATTTTTTTTTTGCCCCAAAATTTCAACACCCATTCGAATTTTTTTTTCGAAAGTGGGGCACGTTTTCTCGTTTCCCAATGGAGCTCATCATTTGATATTAATTTTTGATGAAGTAGAACTATTCTAAGAGGTGGGAATACAAGATTCAGATGTACATAAATGAAGACCACCCTAAAGTACCTAGCAAAACAGTTATTCCAGTCACTGCTCTTCTACGACTATCAAAACATTGTTACTATGGGATTAGTTTTACCAAGTAATTGTCTTCCACGCACGCATGGTCATTTGGAGGCGCCTGCATAGGCGCTGCGCAATGTGGGCCCTCTCTGTAACCTCGAGGAGGGCCCTGAATCCTCCCTTCGCACACAAGGACTCCAAGGGCTCGGAACACGCTAAGAATGCCACCCCGACCACCAACCCCATTTGGGCTGGGAATGCCTCCTGTCACCGCACCTAAGCAGTGCATACCTGTAACAGACAACATGGCACTATCGTTAGTCACGAACATGATTTTTTTTCACAGTCCTAAACAAGCATTTTCAATCAATATTTCAACTCATCGATTCCTAAAACACCCTTAGAAAGAAGCAACACAAAATATGATAAAAGTGGCTCTAACTCTTATAAAATAATATACAGGGTGTTAGGCCAACCCTGGGAAAAATTTTAATAGGAGATTCTAGAGGCCAAAATGAGACGAAAATCAAGAATACCAATTTGTTGATGGAGGCCTCGTTAAAAAGTTATTAACGTTCAAAGATCGGTCTGTAGAACGACAATTTGTCCACCTACTCGAATTTTTTTCACGAAAACGTGTAGGAATTCGAGGGTATGTGTAATGACCAAAAATCATTGTAATTGACCCCCACAACCGTACATAATTTTTCCAAAACGATTCGACATTTTTTTCCCCTCGAAAAATTTCACACCTTCAGGAATTTTTCTCTCGAAAATGCGCAAGAATTCGGGGGTATGTCTATTCACAAAAAATGATTCTAATTGACTCCCGCAACCGAACATAATTTTTTCAAAGTGATTTGAAATTTTTTTTCCCCGTCGAAATTTTCACACCATCTCGAATTTTCTCCTAGAAAGTGCGTAGGAATTCGGGGATATGTGTAATGACAAAAAATGATTGTAATCGACCCCCAAAACCGGAAATAATTTTTTTATAACGATTTGAAATTCTTGAATTTAATTGTTAATAACTTTTTAACGAAGCCTCCATCAACAAACTAGTATTCTTAATTTTCGTCTTATTTTAGCCTCTAGAATCCCCCATTAAAATTTTACTCAAGAGTAGCCAAACACTCTGTATAGAAACTGTAAACAATATGTAATGACAATTTGATATGCCATTTTAAATAATAAGAGGCGTTGCTTAGAAATGATCTTCTATTATCTAGTTATAAAAGTGCTTACTCAAAATAATAAATATATTTTTTATTTTATATTTCTCGAGTTAGGTTGCCATAATTTTCTCTTGGATTCGATCTCATAATCAACCTATCGAATTCTGTCGCGTAGAATCGAGCATTGCGTTTTAAAAAAGAAATGACCTTCGAATCTGTACCGCGGCTCCATGCACGAAGAAACCGTAGCCGCCATATTATGTCCCCTACGAGGGGGAACTTTTGCCAGCAACGCTTCCTGTGATTATTTAAAGCAGGCAAGATATTAAAGCGACCAGCTCTCCCGCGGCACACCCTGCATACAAAAGGTGAAAAGTCGGTATGGAAATAGGTGTTGTTGATTGGGAATCGACGGGCGAGCACAAACCTGCGCGAGTTTTCCGCCCGTGGAAGCAATTTCCAACGCAGTGCATCAGGATCGCCGACATTTTCGAGACCCGATCCACGAGCACCGAAAAATGGCACGATTCGCGCACTGGCCACGCTATCGTCGATCTCGAACGCGTAACGGGGAATCATGCTTCGTATCGAGCCGCGGCTCTTTGCAACGTCTGTATCGGGAAAACGAACTTTGCTCTTCGAGTCGACCTTTCCAGGCGGAAACGCGTCACCATACTTTTCCTCCGCGTACGAGAATGAATGCTCGCGTCACGTTCATTGTACGCCCCGATACCTTTATCCACCGATTCGTCACTTAATTGTTTCCAGCGGTAGGCGAGGAAACGCGTAAAGAAGAACGTTCATTGAAGCGATTAGCTCTCAGCGATCGGGTTTAACACTTTGTATCGCGTGTCTGAATCAGCTGTGCGAGAATGATAGCTCCCTTATGGGTTTCCTTGTAAAATGAGCCGCGCGCGATTTGTCCGTTGTCGCTTTAAAATATAAGCGATTTTTCAGTGTTTCGACCGACACCGTCGCGGCGTGATTAATCGTCTCGAGGGGCGAGCGTAAATGGAATCGTCTCGCGCGATTCTGGCAAGTCTGGGCTCGCGAAATACGGTAAATACGCGGCGGTGAGTTCGAAAAATGGAACGTTTCGGGGGGGATTTGCTTTTGCTGGGAATCGGGCCGACACAAGCTGCTTAAAATGCTTGTCGCGGCGTATGCGCCAAGATCGTGCGTCACTTTTGGTGGAAAACACATTAGGCGGACGCGCGAGTGTTTTCTGAGGTTAGCGGTTTCGTACCAAGTATGTTAAACATTGCTGGCTGAGTATTCTCGCGCGAATTTCCAAGATAAATGCTATTTTCGAAACGGACGAAACGTTGCCGCGTAGCAAAACTAGAAAGTTGACGGACGAAACGTGGACGAACCGTTCGCGTTGGATGATCAAAAGAATATTGCTTTTCGCTGTACGTTTTCTTCTTTAACGCGTGGAAAATTATACGTTCATTGTAACTGTATATGTATAACATAAGATGGTAATTTTTGCAAAACAGAAACAGAAATGAATGTTGTATTTGAAACGATAATATTGCAATTTTTTAACAAACACGTAGTGGTAAAATTAATCGATAAAGACTTAAACACTGATACTAAATTTCGAGTAGAAAATAATTTATAAATAAAAGCAAGGTATCTTGGAATCTTGGAGTTTATCTGAATTTTTTTCTCGAAAATGCGTAGGATTTCGGGGGTATGTCTGTTCACCGAAAATGATTGTAATTGACCCCTGCAATTAAAAATAATTTTTCCAGAACGATTTGAAATTTTTTAATTTTGACGAAAAATACACACTTTCTCAAATTTTTTTCTAGAAACTGGTTAGAATTTCGGGGGTATGTCTGTTGACCAAAAATGCTTATAATTGACCCCTGTAAATAAATATAATTTTTCCAGAAGGATTTGAAATTTTTTAAATTCGTCGAAAAATTTCACACATTCTCGAATTTTTTTCTCGAAAGTGCGTAGGATTTTGGGGATATGTGTAATGACCAAAAATGCTTGTAACTGATCCCTATAACTAAATATAATTTTTCCAGAACGATTTGAAAGTTTTTAATTTTGTCGAGAAATTTGATACTTTCTCGAATTTTTTTCTCGAAAGTGCGTAAGATTTTGGAGATATGTGTAATGACCAAAAATGCTTGCAATTGACCCTTATAACTAAACATAATTTTTCCAGAACGAATTGAAATTTTTGAATTTTGTCGATAAACACAGTTTCTCGAATTTTTTTCTAGAAAGTGGGTAGGATTTCGGGGGTATGTCTATTGACCAAAAATGCTTGTAATTGCCCCCTGTAACTAAATATAATTTTTCGAAAACGATTTGAAATTTTTTTTTCCGCCGAAAAATTTCACACCTTCTCGAATTTTTTTCTCGAAAATGCGCAAGATTTCGAAGATATGTGTATTCACCAAAAATGATTGTAATCGACCCCCGCACCTAAAAATAATTTTTTTAAAACGATTTGAAATGTCTTAATTTTGTCAACTTTATATAATTATCGAATTTTTTTCTCGAAACTGGTTAGGATTTCAGGGGTATGCCTATTGACTAAAAATGCTTGTAATTAACCCGTGGAACTAAAAATAATTTTTTCAGAACGATTTAAAATGTAATTTTGTTAAAAAATTTATCTAATTACTGAATTTTTACAAACGGACGAACGAACTGAAAAATTGTTACGTCTCGTCTAATGTAAGATACGCGAAGCTCGTAGGAGCCGAAGATTGCACTTGTACGGCGTCGAGATATTGGCCGAACGCGTGGTCGCGTCCACCCTGGTTTCCGTACGGTTTTCTCGTTTCTTTTCGCTCGACATCCGATCCGAGAATTCGTCGTCCATCTTCCGCCGGTCATTATGTAAAGGTGAATACGCAGGAGGGCGATGAGCATTATTTATAACTTTGCCTCACCGCCATATGCGGCGAAAGTGACGAACCGGATTGGCTTCCTCCGAGCGTTTCATCGTTCGAACCAACGAGCAGAGAACCGCGGCGCAGCGCTCGGAGGAAACTGTAAGAATTCTTTCGGAAAACGTAACACAATTTTCGACGAACTTCTCAGAGAAAGAGGGTGCAACGATTCTTCGAAATAAAACACCGTTCTCTGTTTCTTTATCCAGATTATTTATGCAGACAAAACCAAAGCAACTACCAAGATCGCGAAGCTAAATAAACTGTAAAGCTTCCAAGGAACCTGAACAGCGCTGGATAAAGCGGTAGCTGCGTGCCGTTATCGTGAAAAAAACACCCCCGTTTGGTCGATAAGACTGTACCGTGCATCCAGAAAAATAAAAATGACGAGGCCCCGATAGGAAAATCGATTGGGAACCAGCAGCCATTAGCTACGTTACACGGATCGAATTCTATTAGAGTACCTTGCGCAACGTAGCAACGTTCATTGTACTTTGCCCGAGTAATTCTCAAGTAAACACGTTCCCAAGGCCTGCGAACATTTCAGGGCAGGAATTTTACCGCGGGAGGAGTCGAAAATTATTCGAGATCGTTTGAAACGCACTCGAGACACCGCGCCGAAGCACCACAGCTGCTCCGAAATGCAGTTCGCGCCGATGCACGTGGATTCGACGCCGAGCAGAGGACACTCGAGACTGCAAAAGTCGACAAAACGCGAAAAATGCCGGAGAAACAGGACCGGGGCCGCGACCCGTGCGACAGCCACGAGGAATTTGAATAAAGAACTGCGCGGCATAAGCTTTACGCACTCACACGTATTTCGCGCCTGTCGTGGGTCCGTGTGCGAAGGGAGAGCTTGTGGGGCTCCACGAGGGTGATCGTACTCGCGTGTCATGCGCAAAAACTTCGAACCCTCGGCGAAGTCCTTCGAGGGACGCCAGGATTAAGGAGGAAACCTCTGCTCGAAGATACGCGCCTCCTCCGAACGCGTAGCGAACAATCACTTGTGGAGGGTAGAGGAATAGTTGACCTTCGATTTTAAAGGGTTTGGGACACTGAATTTTTGAAAAAATTAAATTTTTTTTTGGGTGTCTTAGATATCAGTTTGAAGTCTCAGAAACTTAAAAAAAAAAATTATTTTTGGAAGTACGAAGCCTGTATACTTGCACACCGTAGTTATTATAGTTGAGAATCT